AAGAAACAAAGACAGTTTAGCAAGAACTCCCCAGCTAAGCGGTTTTTTTTAAGACCTTCAGCCAGGAGCTGCCGGCTGAGCTGAACGTCTCACTTTATTAGTGAGTTTGGCCTTGGGTGTCTGGCTGTTTGATCAATCCTGCCAGGGGTCAGTGATATTTCCTCTGGGCCCCCGCCCACCCCCCTCTCTGCACCTGATGAACAGCGCGCCCCTGGAACGCTGATCACCTATTGATTTTCCAGTCGAGGCGGCATCAGCGCCAGCTGCCATCTGCAGCCCTGTCACCGGGGCCACTTGGTGACTAACTGATCCCCTGGGCCTCTCCCAAGCCCCCCTCACCTGAGTCCCCGCGCCCCGCCCCACTGGCCCATCCTTCCTGGCTCGCTTTGTGCATGTCCAGTGCCCGACCTGCTTGCCAGGCTGAGTACTAGGGCCACGCACCCCGAAGTGAAGTCTTTCCCCAGCAACCAGGGCCCCAGGCAGCCTAGCTTTGACTCCCAGTTGTGTGACTTGGGGCAAGTCCTGTAACTCCCTGTGCCTCAGTTTCCTCACTTGTAAAATGGGCATAGCAGAACCTACCCATCATGGACATACGGGAGCAACTTCTAAGGTATGCTTTGGGGTCCTCAGGGGTCCCCGAGGTCCTCCCAGAAGGTCGGCAATGGTCGTAACTATGTTCACCACAATGCCAAGATGTTCTTTGTCTCTCCCACTAGAAGACATTTTCTTACTCTCAGCAGAACATTCCAGAGACTACACGACCTGTGGTATCTCATGTAGAAGTAGACAGGCAAAGCCAGTGGTTTTCTACTAAGCCTGACACAGAAAGATGTGCAAAAATGGGACCCTCTCTGGTGGCGCAGCTGGTTAAATGCAGCACTGCAAGCTGGCTGCAGCCACTTCAGTGCGAATTCGATCCCGGCCCCAGAGGCGACCCACTTGGAGCGGCAGACCTCTCCTGACCCGCCCGCTGCTCCCCTCAGCAGTGTACTTCGTCAATCTGCCTGTTCTGCTCCCCACTCTGTCTCTGGTGAAGCCGCTCACCCCCTGCACCTCTGACCTGTACCCCAGTTCTGTATGCATAAATAAATCTTCAAAAAAGAAAGAACTACTTTTCATAAAATCTGGTATTTCTGCTAACATGTTTGTTGTTGTAAATTTTAAAAAATGATATACCAAAATTATTAGTTTCTCAGTTTTAACTCCTTGAGTGGTAAATAGCAACAGAGAGGGCCCGTCTGGACAAGAACTCCTGAGAACCTCCATCCCTAAGTGCAAGGGGACTGAGATCAGGAAGGCTGAGAACTGCTGGGCTGAGATGCTAGCCAGCCTGGTCTCTGTAAAGCCCTCTGCAAGCCACCATATTCTGATGAGTGATGGGGAGAAATAACCTGTGCTCTCCCCCAGGCTAGAGGGTCCCAGGGTGTGGTTTGGGGAGGGGGAGTTGTTGGGGAGGGGCTAGTCCCTGTGGCCAAACCCAAGGCTGGGTCCCTTCCTGCTCGGCTCCTAGCAGCCCTCTCCAGCCCCTCCTCTGCTTGGGGCCCAGGGGCACCCCCACTGACCTCCCCCCCCCGCCCTCCCCACTGGCGCTGATGACCCTTCATGCTGCTTCGAGTCCAGACCCCCTCCCAGAGGAGTCAGCAGACACAAAGAGGGGGGAGGAGTTAGAATAATAATAATCCGCGCCCCCCGCCCCCCAGCATCCACCCCCTGGCCAGTGCTGCTGAGGGACTTTTGAAAAGTCCAACTCTAGATCCCTGCAACCCAAGGTGGGTAGCAGGAGCAGAATCCAGGCTCTTGGCCAGTGTCCACGCCCCATTCACCACACCACACCACCCGTGCTGGGGCCGACTCCCCGCCGCAGCTGCCCACTGGCTGGTCTCCAATTCTGGACCACAAAGGGGTCGAGCCCTGGGAGCCCCTGGCTGTGCCATGGGGGCACAGATGGGCACACCTCTAGGATCAGGCTGTGACTCCGAGCCCCAGGGCTTTGGGCAAAGTTTTCTGGTAGGTGTGCGTCTTCTTGTGACTGGGACACGACCGAGGCACTCTAGTAAGTTCTGCTGCAAGTGCCAGCAGAGGGCAGAAATGCAGATATGGGGGCCAAGATGGTCTGGACACCCCCACCTGCTCACCTCTGGTGGTGGAGCCAGGCTTGTAAGCGTGCCAGCACCCAGGGGCTGGCCTACCACCCCTTGTCCCCCACTCCCACTCCACTCAGAGGGACCAGGCTGGCCAAGCCGGTCATTAGGATTCCATAAATTCACCTGCTATTACTTGATTTTTGTCACTGCTTATTATCATAAACAGTACTTATAAACCACGGAGACCTGTGCTCTCCTCTGGCACGTGGTAAAGATTCAAGGACATGCGGGTCAAATCCAGCTTGGAGTAAAGGGAACTCAGTGCTGGTGGACGGATGACCAGGGAGCACGGGGCAAGCACGTGGCCCTGGTGCTGTCTGCAGGACCTGGAAGCGCCAGGGATCTTGGCTGCGCAAACGCGGTACGCTAGCGCCTCCTGCCGGGAGCCGCGCGCAACATCAGCCAGGATGGGGCGCTGGTCCGGCCTGGTGCTGGGAGCAAAGGCCAGGAGCCGCCTATCCTCCAGAGCAGAGGCAAGCCAATGGGTGGGGTCCGGTGTGAGCAGCCTCCACCTTGGGCAAGACCCCTGACTGTGGTTAGAGGCGGTTCCGTGCAGGAGACAAAAGGGCTGGAGATTCTTCATCCCCACAGGAGAATCCCTGCAACCCAGCCTCCCGGGGACCGTTTCTGAGCTCCCGCTCTCCCCTGCACCCCCACCACTTACAGAACACCTTATCCCAGTGCACCTCTCCTCCACTTCACTTAAGACCTGTCAGAGAAATGACTGTGGCATTTTCTTCCAAATTAGAAAAAACATGGACCACGCAGGCCCCAGTGGAGGGCAAGCCGAATTGAGCAGCAGGTCAGAGGCTCAGCCCACCGGGGTCTCTGGAGCCCCAAATGCACTACTGGAAGGACCCAGCGTCCACTATAGCAGCATACTGGAGCTGCCCCAAAAGGTCACAGGCCTGGATTGATGTGGTCAACAGGCATGGTGTGTCAGGGGGCTACATATCCATGCACCCCAAAACTTGATGGCACAAAAGCTACCCTTTTACTATGCCCCCAAACTGTGTGCATCCTGGCACTGGGCTGGGATGGCGGAGTCTGGGCCCCTGGTCTGGGGCACCCCGAGACAACCATGGCTTCTTAGATCTCCCTCACAAGTTGGCCTCCTCCCGTGTCACTGGGAGTCCAAACTCAGCGTGTGGAGCCCTCCCTCCCTACTTGGAAAGATGAGAAGGGGGCCTCTGAACCAGTTGCAGCAGCTGAGGGCATGAGGCTGGTGCCGTGGGAAGGAGGTACTGCAAAACGCGCTCACAGAGCATCGTGACTCGGCTAACTGTCCCTTTCCAAGTCCAGATATAGTGGGGAGGGGTAGAGGGGTGTGCAGGAAAGAAAAAGGAGGTTGGGACCCCAGGGAAGAGCTCTTCACACTGCCGGGGGGCCCCTCTGTCTCTGCTATGCCAGGTTGCCAAAGGCCCCAGCCCCTTGGCAGCCCACAGCCAGGCCAGCAGGGGGCAGCACAGCCCCACCTTGTTACTCAGCTACTGAAATGCAGGACAGCTCCAGGGGACAGAACTCAGGGCCACTGCGTAACCTCTACATGCAGGCTAACGGCACGCTGCCGCCCTCGTGTGAGCGGCATCTAGCATGTCAACTCCCCAGGAGCAGAGGCTTTGCTGTGTTCACTGCCACAGCTCTCAGGGCCTGGTGTGCAGAAGACAAGATGTATTTGAATGTTAGGTGAACGTAACTGCAGTTCTCTGACCTGATAGTGCTTCTGAGTGTGTCAAATGCCATTGAGTCTGACCACAGAGGGGCTGGGTGTCCATCAGGTTTGTTGCTGGGTGGGTCTGTCCCTGTTGCCTCCACCCCCAGAGTGCCCTTGGGCCTCCCCACTCAGCCCCCGCATCCCCCCACCCCAGCCCCGGGAAGCCCAGTGTACCCACGTCAGGACCAGGGGCACCTCAGAGATGCCTCCTTTGCTTGGATCCTTCCCACCGCTGCCCACGAAGGGGCCCTCATGGTTATGCACCGTTCTTTCCAGGGATGCTTTTGTCACTTGTTAAAATGAGTCCTCCTGGAAAGAGGGTGAGGGTGGAGACGTGCAGGTCACAGCAGCGGGGAGGCCAGGCTAGGAATGGAGGGGCGGCAGGAGCCTGTCACCCATCGGGCTGCCGAGAGCAGAAGCCCTGGTGACTGAGCGGCCTGGCCACCTTTCTGGAGTCCAGGGGGCCGTGTCCAGCACCCTGTCCTCGCGGTGGATGAGTGCTGTGGTTTATTATCCTGTCTACAGATAAGGGGGTGGAGATGAAGACAGAAGATGCATCTTTGCAAGAGCCCCGGCGTTATCTAAGGGTGAGACTGGAGCTAAACCCAGGCCTTCTCCTGACACAGGGCTGTGCTCTGAGGACAAGGCGGCCCTGGAAGCACAAAGACTGCGGCTCAAAACATTCACATTAGAATAAACGTGGGCCAGAGAGGCCCCAGGGAGGAAGGCGCAGGGTGGGGCAGAGATGGCCGGGCCGGGCCCCACAGAGGGCAGTGGCTGGGCTGGCCCGCGTCCCCGACATGTTCGAGCTCCCCATCTGGAGAAGTCCGGCCTCGACCCAGAGGGTGCGGACCCTCAACCGCAGCAGGAACTTGCCAGGATCAGCCTTGGTCCTAAGTTTAGATTTTAAAAACAAGTACTTCTGTCCTTTCTGCAGAAAGATCCCAGTTGGAAACGGGCAAGAACCAGCGCCTCTTGCCACGGCTGCTCTAGTAAGCTGGAGGCGTCTGCTCTGTGGGGCTCCCCACCCCCTGAGAACCCACACTGCTGTGCCCCAGCCCAGGCCTCTCGGGTCAGGGCCTCAGCGGGCACCATTGAGCAGATCATCTTACGCACTGACCAGACCGTCACACATGGGGGGAACGGGTTTACTCTCGGTATAAAGGTTTACTGCTATTTACACGTCATTTACATGTTTATAAAATGGAAATAAAAATGACGTCCACGTTGGGTGCCTAAAGTGGCACATCCAAAGTAACATCAGTACAAAAATAAATTTTCAAGCTAAGTGTTTTTAAAATAAATGTCACTGAAACAGGGAGGGAAGAAAACCTGAGTCAGTCACGGGCTGGAACACGAACCAGCGAAGCGCCGGCCAACGGCGCAGCCAGAGCCTGCTGGCGGCTGATCGAGCGCGAAACCAACACAAAGGGGCCAGGGGCGCACTCCCGAGCCACAGAAGCCTGGGGCCGCGGGTGTCCGAGTTCCGGGTGGGCCTCTCTGGTGCTCAGCGCTAGGGCTGCTGCTGCGCTGCGGGAAAGCCGGGCCCTGGGAAGGAGGAAGCCCCGGCCAGAGAGAACAGCGCACAGGCCTCTGCGGCCACCACCTGGAGAAGCTCCTGCCGCAGACTGACGCGCCCAGCCGGCCAGCGTGCCTCTAGTAGTGGGCAGAGAGCCCCCGGCCGGCCAGCGTGCCCCTAGTAGTGGGCAGAAGGCCCGGCGCTTTGGGGCCTCTGCCCTTTGCGGGACACACTTGTTCACAGGAGGCAGCAGACTTCACAGCTCATCGCGGCCGGAAGTGGGGCAAAGGCAGCCGAGCCAACCCTCTGCCGGCCCGGGCGGGGCCTCTGCCTGCGGCGCTGGCTTCCGGCTCGCTGCCCGCGGCCGCCAGGAGGGCCCTGCCAAGGTGGCACGCAGGGAGGCGCACGCAGGAGAGCAAGGCCTCCAACTCCCGCTCTGCCTGCACGCAGCAGCTGCCACCAGGCTCAGTCTCCTCTGGTCCCAGCAGGGGCGCAGAGGCCGAGGGGGCAGGGGGGCAGGGGAGCAAAGAACAGGCTGCAGCTCCCTCAGAGCAGCTGAAGGTTCCACCAGAGATAGGCAGCGGAGCCTGGGCACCCAGGGGGCACTGGGCGGCCCTAAAGCTGCAGCCCGGCTCCGTTCACGGGTCCTGGACCTTGGCTCTTTTGGCTTTTAGCGACAGGTGCTGCAAGAGAAGAGAAAATGTCACAGTTGGCTTGGCTAGACAAAGAACCCAAAATTAAAGGTGATTCCCACTGATCATTCACACAAATGATCAAATCAGAGTTTGTACGTGACCCACGCCTTCCCCAGGAATGAGCTGCCCCCCAGGAAGTGCTCTGGGGGGGAGAGTCCGCGGGAGCAGCACAGGAAGTCGCCTTCAGCCAGCCAGGCCCAACCCAAGGGCTGGAGCTGGTCGCATGGGCCCTGCAGGGAGACACAGCTGGCCTCTGTCAAGCCCATGGACACCTGTGTTCCGGGACCAGCTCAGCTGACGTCACCTGGCGATCCCAAGAACTACTCAAGACTGCCAGGACCAGGTAGCCTCCTTGGGCACAGGACAATCCGGCGGCTTAGCAAGCACCCCGTGGACGGCTACTATGCCCACGCCGCCTCTCAGAACCCTGGCAGTGCAGGGAGGCAGACACAGCCCGCCCGGGACCTCTCCAGGAATGTCCCTCTTCACAGCAGAGGAACGTGAAGGCCAACATGACAATCGTGGAAACAGGGTGGAGGGCCCAACTTTCTTTACACTCTACGGGGAAGCCAAAGGGCTGGAAACCCTGAAAGAGTCACTGGAGGCAGAGTGCTGTTTCATGAGGGCCCCTGCTCACCAGCTGGGGTAGACCTGACACCCCCTTAACCACAGCCCAGCAGCCAGGAGACGTCAGGCCCCTGCCCTGGGCGCAGTGGGGCCTTCGCCTGAGGAACGCCCACTCCCCTGACCGCCCGCTGGGCAGGCCCCCCCAGATGTCCGTGACCAGAACCAACGTCTCAGCACCCCAAGGAGCCCCACGACATGGATGCCGCCGCTGGCAGAACTGCAGGCCCCAAACAACAAGGGAGCAAAAGACGCCACACCAGCACGAGCACGCGAGTGGACACTGCCTACTGCTCACAGCCGGGGAAGGCGGCAGAGGTGCTTGCGGAGGACCTGCTAGGAGGGGGCGCTTCGATCCCAAAGACTGCTGAGGACCAGGAGGAAAGGGAAGGCCGGAGGGTGGCCACAGGGCTCCGCTTTCCCCCGCCGCCACTGCCCCTGCCGACTTCCTCCCACTGCCCCTGCCGACCTCCTCTCTCCCCCTGCACGCCACCTGACGTGACCGGCAACTAGTGTCAGGCACCCAGAGCCGCGGCAAGAGAAGAGGAGGTGATGCCATCGTGCCTGTGGGAGCATTTTGGGGGCTCGTTTCTGGGAAGCATGTTGAGTGTGAACACAGCCGACTAGACCACTTCAGGCCTCTGCATGGGGGGAGAGGCCTCTGGAAAACAGGTGATGGGAAGTCACCAAAGGCGCCAGGAGCAGGGCCAGGGAGGACCTGCGGGCCGCAGACAGCTCCGAGGCCCGGCACTGTGTTTGAGAGACACGGCCACCGCGTGGGCAGCACTAGGGTGAGGAGCACGGAGAGCCGGCGTTCTGCCTTCAGAGGGCCCTGGGTGGCTTCCTCAGAAGGGCAAGGCTCCCGCACACAATGAGGTTGCACCCTACAGGTGCCTCCCAAATACCCTGACCGCAAGTGATCAAAGTGGACCTGATGAGCCACCGAAGGCAGCTGGTGGGGAGACAGAAGGAACGTGCTCTAGACCTGCCCTGTTAGAGACTAAAGCAAACAGTGAGATCCAGTAGTAGTCATCCACCAGTTCGAGACATAACATTCTATCAAAAACAAAATTCTGATTCTCCATAGCACAGCATCTATAATGCTTAGCATACGATAGAGAATTAGTACACAGGAGAACAGAAAAATGCAACCGCGGCCCTCTCTGGTGGCACAGTGGGTGAGGATGCAGCACTGCAAGCCAGCTGCAGCTGCTTCAGTGTGGGCTCAATCCCCGGCCCCGGAGCTGACCACATGGCGCGGCAGACCTCTCCTGTCTCCCTGCTGCTCCCCTCAGCAGTGGACTTCATCAGTCGGCCTGTTCTGCTCCCACTCTGTCTCTGGTGAGTCCTCTCACTGCCCTGCACCTCTGGCCTGTACCCCAGTTCCATATGAATAAATAAATCTTTAAAAAAGAAAACTGCAACATGTAATGAAGAGGAAAGACAATCTAAAGAGATAAAATAGACTTTAGAAATGGCAGTTAGCTTCACAAGTAAGAAGCCCTTTAAGACAGCTATCACAAACAAGTTCAAAAATTTAAAGAAAATACTTTTTTCTTGTTTCTTTTTTTTTTTTTTTTTTTTTTTTTTTAAATTTTTTTTTATTCATTTACACAGATCTGGGGTACAGGCCAGAGATTTGGAGGGTGAGAGGATTCACCAGAGACAGAGTGGGGAGCAGGACAGGCAGATCAATGCAGTACACTGCTGAGGGGAGCAGCGGGCGGGTCAGGAGAGGTCTGCCACGCCATGTGGATCTCCTCCGGGGCAGGCGGGGATCGAACTCATGCGGAAGTGGCTTCAGCTTCTTAGTGCAGTGCTTTAACCCGCTGCGCCACCAGGGAGGGCCCTTTTCTTGTTTCTTAATCTCTTAAAAGACAATCACTTCAAGCAAACACAGTAACAATGTATATATAAATACATATATATAAATTAAATGCAGAGATACAGAACATGAAGAAATAAAACACAAATACAGAAAGCATATGACAATATGTAGAAATAGCACACTCACATAAACATGTAGAAATAAAATATATGACAACAGTAACAAAAGAATGGGCAGTGAAAACAAAATATACCGGCTTCAGCGTCTTACATTATCAGCCGGGTAGTAGAGGATAACGTAAGGTCAACAGGGAGTTAAGGATGTGTACATAATTCCTAGAGCAACCGCCAGAGGTATGAAGCCACTGGAAGACATGTGAAACACTAAAAAATGATTGATTAATTAAGAAACAGACAATAAAAACAAGAACAAGAACTAAACTAGGCACTGGGCCCTGGGAAATCGCCGGTAACACTCTGCACCCCACCATTCACACAGGGGGGCTGGGCTGCCCAAACCCCCAGCTCAAACAAGGCAGAGCAGACAGAGCAAGACCCCGCCGTGCTCTTCAGGAAGCTCACGGATTCGCTTTAGCTGTTTCATGATGGACTGCCCTATAGAGCCACCCTCAATTAAAAATCTTGTTGGGGGAGACAATAAATAGCCCGTGTTTTCGGACTGTGTGAAGACCGCCAACCTCTGACCCTCTCAGCACGTGCGTGGCAGCGCACACCCTGCTCACGGCGTGGGCGGACCACCTCGGCAGAGAGGGGGCTCCATCCCCAGGGACGGTGCCCGAGGGGAATGACCTCCCTGGACACGGCTCAGAAGAGCAGGAGACATGAGGAGGGCTGGAGATGCCCTCTCAGTTTTGACTTGAGTCACAGAGGCTTATTTTTAAATGTGTTTCATTATGAGGAAATGGCACAGTGTTTGTACCCAGAATGCTTTGGGGACAGAATAATGGCCTTGCCACTCTAGGAGGTACTGTGGGTAAGAACACAAAGCCCAGGCATCAAATTGGAGAAAATGTGAATCCCAATGATGAAGAGGTAGGCAGGTGGCAGGCAGGGGGGACGGGTTCTGTTCATTCCTACCGTTCCTTGCTGATAAAAGTGCGGTGCCAGCTCCAGCAGCCAAGCAGATTCAACAGCAGTCACGTCCCTCATGTAATACTTGGAGGTCTGAATGACCTCATTGTAGATAACCCTGAAATGAGATCGAGGCATGAGCAGGTTCCTTGCGGCAAGAGTAAACAGCCACAATTAGAGATGAGCTTTTCCCCTTCACCTTGCACAGGGACGGGTTCTGGCTGCCAGCTACGACGCTGCACAAATGCACTTATGTGGCTCACTGCGTGTGGAGTGAACTGAATGCTCACTGAGGGGTCAGGAAGCCGAGGAAGATCACCGCTTTCTTAAGCAGATCTGTGGCAGGGCAGGCGCCCTGAAGAGGGCGCCGCGTAACACAGTGGGCAGAGGCGCCCCGGAGCCCAAGCAGCGAACCAGCCTGACCTGCAAGGCAGCTCCCAGACTGAGCAGCAGCATGTCGGCTTACCAGCGAGGTGGCTTCTCGGCATAAAGGACAGATGCGGGGTGGATGTGCAGTTCATGATCGTCACGGATAGTCCTTGAGAAACACAAGAATTTGGCCTGAAGGACATTTTACATTCTTACAGCAAGACTTTCCCACAGATGTGTCTAATATCACCAAAAAGGCACACAGATGGTCCTTCACACAAACAAGACTATTCTCGCCCTCTTCCCTGGGCTGGTACTGGCCCCTCCCCTGCTGCCACCCAGGCAGCAAGAAAAAATCATGCAAAAAAGGGTAAAGAAGAAAAGCGACAGGTGGATATTCAGAAAATAATTCAGAAAAAGACCACTCCGCCCAGGCCTGTACGCCTTTGCTGTACGTCCTCTTTCAAACACTTTCCTTGGGCACAGAATTAAGACAACACATCCATAGACAGCAAGTGTGGCCACAATGTGTCAGGCAGGTCCCCGAACTATCATCCTTCCACAGTATGTGGATGGGTGAAGACTGGAGAACCAGCTCCACAGCGAAGACAGCCTCCACTGGCGCTCGGAAGGAAGCACGATACTTAGTGAAGTTCTCTACGGGCCCTGCACAACAGCTCTGTGGAGGGTGGGTCATTTTTAGGACAGCTGCTTCAACAAATGTCTTTACAAAGGATCAAATACCTGTAAGCGCCAGTAGAATGAAACCTCGCTGCATTGGCAAAGAACCCAGCAACGATGCACCTCAGAACCGGGTCCGGGTCACCTACACAGGGCAGCAAACAGTGCTGGATGAGGCCCCGCCTGACTGTGCCGGTGTGCAGGAGCCAGTGCCAGACGCTCTGCCACAGCTTCAGCCACCTCGCAACCACCTCCTGCCCCCCCCTCTGCTCCGGGCGCTGGGAGCCAGGCTGGGCCATCTGTGGGTCACCACCCGGTCACCACCACCAGGCTGTTGTGCTCGCTTGGCTGTTCCTCCTCCCTGCGAGGTCAGCAGGCCAGCCCTGGGCAGCACTATAGGCTGATGTGCTGGCCTTCACGGGGGAGTAGCTTCCGGGACCAGTGTCCCTCCCATGAGGCACAGACTGGGACCCTGGGGACTTCTGAGTTATATGCTACAGTGTGTGACTCTTCAGCACCTTCAAATGCTCCATTTTAACCGGTGTCAGTATCCACTACAATAAACATCTCCCAAGGATAAAGCCTTCCTTATTTATTAGACGACTTCCACAGGATACATTCCAAATTATTGTACAGAAGGATAATGGCACTTACATGGCTTATGACAGACCATATTTCACCAATTCTAAGACTCAAGTCTTTTTATAATGGCCTAACGCACTGAAATCAGGAGAGCATTTTATAGTTTCAACTGGGAGTATTTTTTCTTTGTTTTGTGATCTATCAAACAATGGGGGTGTCTTACAGATGACAAAAGTGGCATATTGGTAAATAAGTGTCCAGAGGTGATACAATTTGCAAAGCAATCAACAATGTCTAAGAATCTCAGGCTCACTGAATCCTCACCAGCAATGTTTCAGCAAGTTACCCTCCTTTCATTGTACATTTGGCCACGGTCTGTGTTGCTAAATTGGTGAATTTTCTATTCCATTCTTTTGCCCATTTATCAACTTGGAAAACAGTGTTTTTCTTTCTCAATGTATGAAATGAACGTGTTTTCTAATAAAGTTCTAAAATTTTGATCTTTCATGTCTGCTAAAAATACTTTTCATTATTTGCTTTCTTTTTAACAACTTGAAGTTTTAAACCTGCATGTACTGTACCGCATCTCAATGATCTTTTCCTATCGTTTCTAAGCACAAAATTGATTAAGTCTCATATCTACATCTTAACCACAATCTGACTCCAAGATTTGCTGCCTTCTCACAATTATCCCTAGAAATGTCTGTGTACTGAACCAAGGTGATGCCTCTTCCAGAGGTGTGAAAATCAGTGAGTCTTCGCTATGGCAATGGTCGTGGGCCCCTGGTCCCCTCATTACTTTAGGCCACGAAAGCTCTGGAATAAAGCTGCCCGAGTGTAGGTTCTGACTCCACCGCACTGGGTGGCCCACAGTCCACCTGCCTCTTATCTTCACTCTTCCCAGCTATAAAATAGGGGTGCCTTTCCCTGGATGACTGTTGGGCATGAAATGAATTAACAGACGAAAACACTGGGGCGCCGCCTGCTCACTCAGAGCCGCCACAGAAGCGGCAGTCAGTGGTCCTGCTTGGGCTGAGTGCAGACAGCAGGCCTGGCACACCGCGACATTCAAAACAACGAATGAGTGAGCAAGCACGTCATTTCCTCAAAAGTGTGGGTGCTGGGCCCTCTGCCCGCGAGCCGCTGTGTTGTCCTGATTTATTTACCTTCTCCCTGTGACCTTACAACTCGCCTGGTAAGCATCAACTACACCTCCCAGGGTGGGGGTGAAGTGAGTGTACCTGAGGGACCCCTCCCTCCTCAGTGGTGCCACCGTCAGGCAGGCCAGAGCCCCGTCTCTGTGGCACCGCTACCGCCCCGACCACACAGGCTGGACATGCAGCACCGGCTTTCAGCACATCTGCATTTGAAGATAAACTCAAGCGCTATGTGACAGCCATAGTTATCCACCCAACAGTCATTTTTCTTGCAAAAACTTCATCGGAAAATTAATTCTCTAATGTGCGACAAGTGGGAGTTAATAATTCCTAAGTGTTGTCAGGGGGCATCAAATGTTTTCTGAGTAAGACTCACCTTCAGAGATAAAAGGGAGCCTCCTCGGAAGAAACACCCCACTTTTAGACACGGCTTTTCATGGACACAGGCAGCTCGGAAGGGAGCCGGGGCGGTCACAGGGCCCTCAGCCCTGCCTCACACCAGCCGGCAGGAGGACGCGAAGAACACAAGCAGACGGAGCAGGCAAGAGCATCGCGCAGGCTCGTGCTCTTACCTTCACTGGATATCTTGGGCACTTGAAACCTGACGAGCAGCTTCTTCAGTTGTTCTCTCACTGTCACAGCTCTGACAAGACCCTTGTAATTCAGGAAGTGCTCCTGACACCACTGAGAGCTCTTGTTGTGCTACAGAACAGCCAGCCAAAGGGAGAGGAAGGAAAACACAGGCGTGCTCTTGACGGAGGCTGTGTGTGAGGACAGCTGCCGCCTCATCCCCGAGCGCCCGCCGGTGGGGCCGGCTCTTCGCCGGGTGTCCCGTCCCTCTAACAGGCCTCGGCACTGGGCGGCCGCCTGACCACACGCCAGCCTCACTCAGCACAGCAGGGAATGGCACTTCACGACAAGCGATGGCGTCTGAGACCTCAAATGCCCTCGAGGGGCCAGTACTAGAGAGAACTGTCCCCGAGGCTGTAGATGAGCTTTCCTTCGCTGACAGCCTTGAGTTTACCCTTTTTCACTTTTTACAACAGGCAAACAATACGACTTGCCAAATCAAAAATGACTGGCAAATTATTTGTCTCCAAAGTATGATTCGTATCAACAATGCTTAACTTTGTTCTACATTCTTAAGTGTGATAATTTGTCTGAAATTATTGGGAATTTACTCTGAAATCATATTCTAAGTCAGAGACAAAGGGTTTTCAGTAAGAAAATGCGAACCACAGGATTTCTGAGAAGGCAACGTAAACGAACAACTGTGCTTGCTCTGAATCGGAGGCTGCAGGTCGGAGAAGGTGACGTGTGCACCGAAAAACAAATTTTAACTGACTTAGTCCATGATTAATAACTTTAAGAAGAGGAAAGGTTTCTCTGAAAACTGTTTATCAACAGAATCAATTCCCTCAAACATTTGGAAAAACAAAAATTAATTCTCCTCTTCTAAGGAAGTATTTAAGATACAAAAACAAGATGCCAAACAACCGAAATGTCTAACTTCCTTCCCTTTACATGAGAGCGGTCGGTTCTCACCAGCATTACACATCTCATTTTCAGCAGTTTCTAATAGTGCTAAGTGGTTATTATTTGTTCTTCGGCTGAGCCAATACTGCTTCCTGGGGCTGGACATGGGCAGATGTGAACGTCTACTAAATGTCCCCTCAAGCAGGTGGAGGCGAGGTGAGACATGCAGCATCAGACTCATCGAGACGGCTGAGACTCAACTCCAGACTACGCGTTACCCCTTGCTTGGCCAGAAATGGAACCGAGCTCCCCACTCGGGTACTAGCCGGCGCTGCCCAACAGCACCGGGTGGGGAAGAGTGAGGAGAGTGCCCGCTGGGGAAGGCCGACGGGCCACCACTGTGGCCACAGCTCTAGGCAGGGAAAGTCACCACAAACACGGGCAAGGGGCTAGACTAGCAACAAACCGGACGAGTGACGTCTTGGCCAGTCCTCTGTAACCTGAATTTCTAGAAGCCTCACCCAGGTGCACCTGCCCTGGGGAGCACGTGCTGGTCTGCTTACTTTGATAAACGCTTCATACACGTTCAGCATGGTGAGGTGGTCGCCCTCCTCCACGGCAAATTTTCGGTGCATTCGAATCTAGAGAGACCAAAGCCACATTTAGAAGGCCCTCTTCATGACCCTTGGGCCTGGGAGGTGACCCCACACATGGATAGCTCCTGGCTCAGAGTGGGAAGCACCTGGTGGGCAGAGCTCTAGCTCTGCTATTTTCTGCCAGACCTCTGATTGGTTACCTAACCTACCTCAGCTTCAATTTCCTTATCTGTCAAATCTGTTCTGCTGTGGGAACAGAACAATTCCCTATAAAGTACCTGGCACAGGTATTAGGTAAATATTAGTGTTCTTATCTCTCTTCTCCCTTCTACCCAGGCACTATCACCTTTGAGAACCCCCAGCCCACACCTGGATATAAGCTCCAGACGCAGGAGCTCACCGGCGCATGGTAGACACTTAGTCCTGGGACGCCTCAGGCTGCACAATCCTTTCAGACCCTCCCCTGAATTCTGCTTTCAGCAAGACTCTGGGCAATGCCATCTGCTCCCGAGCCCGAGGAGCACCTAAGACATACACATGAGTATGCAAAAGCGCTGTCAGCACCAGGACCTTCTCCTTGCATCAGACACCTCATAAATAACCACAATGCTAACACTGGGGCTGTGGAAAGCTGGGAAGTGCCGATTCTGACCATGACCACGAGCGAGGCAGCTAACCTCCCTGCGCCTCCATCTCTGACGCTGAGGACACAGTCATGGCCGCACCCAGCATACTGTGAGGACAAAGTAAAACAATGTCCATTAAACATGTAGCACAGCTGCAGACCCGAGACGGCACTTGTGTGTGCCGACACCACGCCACAGCAGGTCCTGGGAGTTTTAACAAGGAAAAGCCAAAGTGAGAGACTGGAGTGAAGAGCTTGAGGGAAAGGCGGGACTTACTGCCTGGAACTTCTGATTTGAGGGCGTCAAAAAGATATTCTGGATCTGCATCATGGCAGCAATGCTTAGAATTTCCTGAGAACAGCCAAAATTTCCTGTACACAAAAAAGCACATTTGATTCCAAACTTAAATACGTCCGTGAAACAAATATAAAATATGGCAATGAGACAAATGATGCCAGCGAGGACTGAGAGTCACTGTCCGATATTTTCCCCGCACCATATTGAGATCATATTGTAGACTGATTTTGAAAGCTGCTATGACATAAACACTCTCCCCTGTCAAATGCTACATCCACATATGCCCAGAAGAAAGGAGGCCTGGGAGGGCCCTGAGGCCGGAGCTGCTGTCACACCTGCAACCACACACTAGGAGACTCTGGCTGGGAGCCAGAGTGGGGCCAGGGCGGCCCATCACTCAGGCAGGTCAGCACCTGGCCTGCCCCTGCTCTTAGTGGACACTTGTTATCCTGGAATAAAGTCTGAGGAGAGAAAGGCAGGGAACACGTGGGCTGTGTCCCTTCGGCTACTTCTCTGCCCTGGGACCATCTCATAGGGGTGACCCTCTCAGGGTTCGGCTCCATCTGTCAAGTCCAAGGCATAACCAAAACAGGTACAGACACTGGCCACTACTGCTGGCCCCGAGAGCATAGACTGCCCTCTGCACTGGGCCTGGGGCTGACAGCAACTGTGCTGCCCGTGTGAGATCCTCACAGCTTCCAGGCTCATGACTCTCATGTTCCCCCACCCCAAACTTAGAATCCAGCTTCTTAATGTAAGATACTAAAATCATTTACTTGGTTGTTACAAAATACATTATAGCCCTCATCATTATCAATCTGAAATGCAGCTTTGTAGATTGCCAATTAATGTGAAAGTTACAAAAACAAGGGGCGGGGGGGGTAGTATCTATGATACACACAAAGTACACTCTATGTGATTGTGCCTTCCAAGAGCTCCAGAGTGTACACTTTTTTTTTTAAAGATTCATTTATTTATGCATACAGAACTGGGGTACAGACCAGAGGTGCAGGGGTGGTGAGATGATTCACCAGAGACAGAGTGGAGAGTGGGGAGTAGAACAGACAGATCGAGGAAGTACACTGCTGAGGGGAGCAGCGGGCAGGTCAGGACAGGTCTGCCTCAGCCATGTGGTCACCTCCGGGGGTGAGGGTCGAACGCATGCTGAAGTGGCTTTAGCTTCTTAGTGCTGTGCTTTAACCCGCTGTGCCAACAGGGAGGGCCTAGAGTGTATACTTTTATCCCTTGACTCAGACCCTCAAAAAACTCGAAAGGTGTCAGAGATGTTGTGCATTAGTTACAGTGACTGTGGAAAATGGTAGGGTAATTTCGCAGAAACTTACACAGCATTAGCACATGATCCAGGAATTCCACTCTAAGTATAAACCCCAAAAAAGTGAAAACAGGGACTCACATACTTGTGTGCCAATGTTCAGTCACAACAGCCAAAAGGTGGCGGCTCTATAAATGCCTACCAACAGATGAACAGTATGCACACACATGGAATATTACTCACCCTTAAAAAGGAAGGAAATATTGACACATGCGACAGTATACCAAGTGAAGTAGGTCAGACAAAAAAGACAAACGCGATGGTTCTACGTATCTGAAGTCCTTAGAACAGTCAAAGACCGAAAGTAAAATGGTAGCTTCAGAGGCAGTATGAAAAATAAGTATTTCACGGTTTCAGTGTGAAAAGATGAAAATGTTCTAGAAGAGGGTAGTGGTGATGGATGAAGAACAATGTGAATGTACTTAATGCCACAAAACTGTACACTTAAGACTAGGCCAAGGGAAACAGAGGTGTGAGCTGAACTGGTGACAGCCAACACTGAATCAGAGTGAGAAGCATGCCCCAGACCAGAGAGCTAACGCAGCTGACCCTCACCACTCCAGCTACGTCGTGCCCACTCCCAAAGGAAGCACAGAACTTGGGGAGATAATATCTCTGATAAAATTAAATCAATGGAAGCCACTGGTCTTCACCCACCTGATTCAAGCAGCATTTTTGCAAACATGGGGTTCAGAGGGAATTCAGCTATCCTGGTGCCTAGAGGCTCAGTCAGGCGACAGTCTTTGTCCAGACCTGTGACAAGAGCGACAAGTCAGCAGGCATGCACTGCTGTGTTAGGAGACGCACAGTTGCTGAGCCAATCAAAGATGATGGAGGTTAGAAAAAAGGAACCCAAGAGATACATCATGCACGACCAAATTCCATCTGACACCAGAGAGCCATTACATGACAAAAGATCTCTGAGCTCTGACACTCAGGTTTAAAATACCAATATTTCTAATGGCTTCCTTTCAAGGATTACTGGGAAATGGTCCTGCAGCCTCCAGTGCTTCCCACGCTCTCTTCCCACAGTAGCCTCACCGCTGGTCCCACAATTCCCCAGGACCCAACAACCACATGGAGCTAACTACACATTTTCCTTGGGGTCCCAGCAGCTTTTGACTCTGCAGACACACAGCTGTGTAGAAACTCGTCCCCAGTTTTCATGACCCCCATTCTCCTGGTTCTCTGCCACCTCTCCTGCTGCTTCCTCTCTCACCTGTCGATCTCTTCCTAGTCCAGTCTCTTAGATGCCACACCTGTCCAGGATAACATTCTCATACCATGCAAGCGATAACAAGGCCAGTAACTGAATCTACACACTTGCCCAGATCACTCTTTGGTGCCAACACCATAGCTGTTTATCCAGCTGCCTCCCGGACAATTTACTGGATGGGGTGGGGCCGTCTTCATCAGTTCTCCACTAAGATTCTTTACCATTGGCCAGTATCCAGGTACTGGATTCCAAGGTGTAGACCATTATTTTACGATTACTCAGACTATTCCCAAGATAGAGTATTAAAACAAACACAGCATAGCTCAAAGTAAGACTTAATTTATCTTTTGTTCCCACATAATCATCTCTTTAAGGGTGATAATTCATTTTCAAACTAAATTAAATTGGGTGTTTTTCTCTACTCTTTCCAGCTTATGTATAGTAGTGAAGAAAAAGAAAATATTTTAATGTCATTCTAACTAGGGGAAAATTAATCCAAATGAAAACAAACCCCATAGAGTAAATATACTCTCATTCTTGCTACAGATGACACCTGAAAACCTTTCAGTCCCTGCTACATGTCTGAGAGGAGAGAACGGAAACCTATTCCGGCACATACTTATTTTGGACTGACTTCGCAGAGACCCACCTAAACACCTTTTAAATCACTGACAAGCTTTTAATCCAGTTAATTGGTCATTCCTTTTTAGAGAAGTTATCATAACTATAATGAATGAAGATGGACCCTCCCTCATTGCACACAAAAAGTAGAACTCAGAACGGATCATGGCCCTGCTAAACATAAGAGTTAAAACTATATATATAAGACTCTTCAAAGATAACTAGGAGAAAATCTTCATGCCTGTGAATCTGGCAATGGCTTTAGATACCACAGCACAAGCAAAAACAACAACAAAAAAAAACAGGTGAGTTGAACAACATAAAAAACTAAAATTGCAAGAAAGTGAAAAGGCGGAACGGGAGAAACACTTGTAATCATACCAGGTCAGGTAAGAAACTCGTATCCAGAATAAAGAGCTCTCCCAACTCAGTAATAAAAAGGATGGTCCCACCTTACTGAGACAAAGCTTAAATGTTGTTAAGAGGACTACGAGCGGGGAGAAGAAATCCCGCTTTTGGAAACCCCTAAGTGAACACCCCTCACGGCCGTCAGTAACGGGCAGAGGACACAGCAGAGACGGGCAAACCTCCCAGCGCGTACAGCAACTCCAACGCTTGCACCATCGACTGTGCTGGAGGGGGCTGGAAAAGAGAGAAAATCCTCAATTCATTTATCGTAGTAACACACACAAAAATGTGACCATTTCCTGTTTCTGTCCACTCTCCCCTCCACCTCGCTCCTAACTCCCCGGCCTCATGCCCCACTCACGGGGTGCACCACAAGCCCTGCTCTGCCCTGCCCCCTGATGGCTACTTGGTCTTTATCTCAGCTGACTTGCCCTTGGCGTCCCCCCTCAGACTTCCCGCTATCTGCAGTGAGGCTGCCTACCTTAAGCTACTATACACATTGAATCTGGGTTTCTAAAAGTCACAAGAGAATTGCAGACAATCTGAAGTTAAGCAAAACTGACACTGTGGCTAGCGTCGATTCTCCAGACCCAACCTCCTTTCCTTCCACAAATCTTGACTGAGCATCTACTCAGCACCAAGCCTCATTACCATGTACTTCTAAATTATTTCATTTATAATAAGCCAGGCAAGAAGATTATGGTCCTCTTTCCAGCTGCATGGCTTATTCTCCTAAGTGCATTCATGTAACAAATGTGTTTTAAGTATCACATTGCTTTAGCCCGATTTCACAGATGAGCAGAGCGAGCAGCATTACTGAACAGACACTTGAACGAGGCCACTCATTCAAACAGGTGGTTGGTGGCAAAGGCAGAATCTCAACACGGATTCATTTTTCCCACTCTACCCAACCCTTGATTGCCAAGGGACAAAAGTGCACTTTCCAAAGCTGTGACGGCTGCGTGCACACACGTAGCACATCCCGCAGACCACTGCTGACTGAACCATGTCATTGACTGACCAGCCTTCCCTGGGAGCGCATGGCATCCCTGGGCAAAGAGGCAAACTCACAGCACCTACATGGAGGAATTTAGCCTCCCAGCTCTCTTTCCCACCAAGGTTACATGAGATAAGAGGCAAAGCAAAGCAGCGAATTAAGTTTTGAATAATTGTACAACAAAATTAGTAAGGTCCTCTGATTACTTTCAATCTTTGATCCTACTTCGAGTGAATCACCAAGTCCTAAGAATCCTTTCTTTGTATTAAAAAACAATTCTACTCATACCCCCACACCTAAGCACACATTAGCACTCCTCTAAGACAGGCAGCTCAGAATGATGCACACTGTTTACCGCAGTTGGAAGGGCAATATATGTTGAATTTTAGTTTTTCTACACATTTTATAGTTTTTTCACTGCATACTTTTCTGTTTCATTTGTTTCTTGTACCCACTGAAAGGTCAGAGTGATCGTTTAATTTGGAGCAGCTGCAGAACATTCCACTACGGTGAGACTCTATAAAGTAAGCAAGTTTCCTACTACTCAGACACTGAGTTATTTTCAGTTCTTTCTTACTGCAAATAATACTGCTAACTACACAGAATTATATGTGTCCCATGACTTCAACTGAAAAAAATAACACAATTCCAGGAGAATAGAATCAGAAGGAACTATGAGGACAAATCTGTATTTTTCCAAGTTTTTCGGTTATCCAAAAGTTTTCAGCTGTCATCACTTGTATCTTGAATGTCATATAAAATGACCAAAAAACATTCTTACAGATATAAGATTTTCTTCTTTTGAATTAATTTTCAGGAAAAATTTCCCTGAGAAGAAATACCACGCAATCCTATAGCTTATAAAGTAATGTCGGAAAAGCCTTCCATGAGGGCTCAGAGTATAAGACCACCTTCTCAAACGGTGTCAGCTTTAGATCTTACCACTTTTCTTTGTCTGATTGTTTAATGGAAGAGGCACTTTCCACTTTCTAGTTTTGCTCCTCTTCCTTCCAGAGAGGTAAAACACGTGCCAGTGTTCACTCACTACCTGTGTGCTTCCCTCCCCTGCAGCTTTTTCTTTACTGGGTAATTCTAAATGATATTCAGAAATGCTTGTACATATTCTGATGATGATCTGTCATTTCTGCCACTCTATGTTTTCTTTTGATCTTGCATGTGGAGCTTTGCACTGGCTTTGATTTGCACATACTCTTCATCTTGCATTGTAATTTCTTGTACCAATAACCAAAGGGCCCATTTTCCCCGCACTTATAATAACCACATGATTGCTTTCTTTGGGAGGGAGACTTATATTTTTCTATTCCTTTGTTTGCTAAGTTTATCTTGACACACTTGTCCTAAAGGACTTTACAATCCAAGAATCAAGATTTGCCACACCATATGCCAGAAACAGTAGGGGTAGCGCACAGAAGAAAATAGGAGTGAATACTTACTGACTGACCTGGCCATAAGACTTTGCTCCATAAGCACAATAGGGCCCTCCCTGATGGCACAAAGGGTGACATGTCGGCACTATGAAGCTATCAACAGCTACTGCGGCACGAGCTCAATCCCCTGCCAGGGAGGTGATCCACACGGCACAGCAAGACCTCTCTGGTCACGCCGCTCCCCTCAGCAGTGTGTTTCAGTCAATTCGCCTGTTCTGCTCCCCACTCTGTCCCTGGTGAATCCTCTCACACACACCTCGACTCCATCCCACACCTCTGGCCTATTCTTGCATGCAAAAATAAATAAATCTTTTAAAAAAAAATAAGCACAAGAATAACAAGAAATCACAAAGGCCAAGACAGGTATTACTGGTGGAAATGTTTACATTAAAAATAAACAGTAACGTACCGATAACTAGAAAAGAGTTGCAAGATAATACCATAGACACAAGTCATTATCTTTAACACTTAAAGGACTGTGTAAAATCACTAACTAATCAACATTAATTCTAAGAGATAAATAGCTTAACAAGGCAGAAAAAAAGCAGAATAGCCAATAATTCTTTTTTTAAAGTGTACTCATGAGAAATTTAGAAGAAAAAAAGCACAGGAAATATTTTTCTTCCCTCAACCCCTACCAGTCAAATTAGCCAAACTCTAAAAGAAAATAACCTGGTCTGACACAATGACTCCCACACACTGCGGTAAAGCTCCAGAGCAATTTGATCAGGATCAAGGACACGGACCGACAAAGCGACAATGGCCCAATAATTCCACACCTGGAAATCTGCCTTAGGAAATAATCAGACATGCAATCAGACATGGGACTTCCCTGCAGATCCACCAACACCCTCTCGCCTCCCACCTGCCTCTAGGCACCAACACAGACTCGCTGCCCTGAGCTCTCCAACTCTAACCTGATGACCTCCTGCTGGGGTCTCAGGCCTTCCCGCATCTCCCGAAGCACAAGGCGCACACGCTGTGATCACCCCTTCATTTGTGACCATCCCCCGGGGGAGAGAGTAAGAGTTGTGCCTGTTCACGGGGCTCTCCTCATCTATACCCCACACAGGGCCCCGGCACACAACACCGGAGCTAAGTGGAACAGTCAGAAAGGTGCCACGCTCTCTAACCAAGTCCCAACACTCCCCTGCAAGCGCCCCGGCCCCTAGGACCCCAGACAGAAGGAAGGCAGAACTCACCGACATGAAGTGGAACCTGAGGACATTGTCAATTCCTAGTGCTTTCAGCTGTAGGATGACAGGTGCCAAATTACTACGCTGCATCTCAGGAACCGTGGATTGAGGCAGCTTGTCAAAGGCTTCCTCTGAGGATAGGAAATCAGAACTGTTTGGGACCAAATGTCACAATCAAATGCAAGGGACAGCCTTCCTTCTCTAACACAAGGCTCTAGGGTCTAGGACCCGGTGCATCTGATACAAAATGAAGTTGTTTCATACAAAGACCATTCCATCTAATACATATTTGAGCAATTTATATTGGGTTGTCAGAAAAGTCATGGTGCATTTTTGCAACAACAACAACAACAAAAAAAAAAAAAACAGGAAAAATGTCAACTGTTCCAAAACCCCATTATCTTTACACACATTGCATCTTTATAAAAAGTGTGTACTTTGACTTTAGAATGCTTTTTGTCAACAATACATTAAATGAAGACCAACAAGAATTTGCTGACTCACGCCTCCACTTGGTATGATGTCAGTCAAGAAGGCAAGAATTATGCATATAGCAAAGAATAATTTCAAAGTAAATCAGCATAACATAACAAATGACCAAACCCAACAAAGAACAAAGTGTCCAAATTTCACTGTTAAAATCAACGAGCCAGGCACACCGGTCACGCCCAGAATCCACTGCTGCCGCAGAGATGGGTGAAAACCTACAGGGCCCTCTGGGAACAAAAGGTGACCCTGACCGCCCATGGGAAGCAGCACAAGACACAAGGGCTGGGGGAAAGGGAGAGGAGGGCGAGAGACTCGGGGCAACTTTTCATAAAACCGAGACAAAAGGGATGGTGGGGAAGGAGGGAAGGATGAAATCACTCTTTTTATATCTGGGAAGCTATGGATCACAGAGAGAACACCACCCACAAAAATCCTCCCCATCAGTTAGCATTTTATCTGTACACCTGTCCTTGACACAAGGGTGGCCCAACTTCCTCTGGAAACATAAAGCTTTAGTTAACTAGAGGAAAAGGAAGAAAACAAAAGATGTTGTGAAAAACAGCACTGCCCCTTAAGAGCTTCAAAAAGGTTTTCTTTGAAGAAACAGACAACTAATATTCTGAGGACTGATTGATAGAAACTGCCTAGTGCCTGGGTCTAGCTGGAGGACCCTGGATTATAGGCAACTGCAGAAAGTGGGATATACCTTTGAGTTATACGAGCATTTGGGGAGTAGCTTTTAGTGGCATAACCGTATCTTCCAAGCACACTGCTGAAAAGAAAGTCATCAAGTAAGAGCACACTGGGAAAAGAAAGTCATCAAGTAAGAGCACAACCCTGCCGAGAAGGGGCTTCCTTAGTTCACAACTAAACTCTGGTAAGAGATGCCAGTGTTTGAGGCACCGTCCAGGGGCTATAGGAGCCATAGACAATGACTTCGAGAAGCTTCAGTGATACAATAGGGTCTGAGCCCAAGACAGGAAACAGCCATCTCCGAGGAGGAAGAGACTGTGTCCCAATGTGCGGTCCTCCTAAGGGGAAGGGAAGCTCAGGGAGGAGGAAGCACAGCCACTGGCAAAGACATCTGAGGTCGCTCGGGAGGGAAGTGCCATCAGGAGGACCTGACAGGCAAGGAGGAGCTGCAAGGCAAAGGAAACAACTGCCCAAGGCAAGGTACCAGAGGGAAGAAAGGTGGATGAGGAAGAGCCAGAAGGCATGTCCAGGAAGAGTGGGGTTCAGCTGGACGCAGCGCAGGCTAGGGAGACAGGTGGACAGCAGGACCAGATGTGCTGAGAAAAGTCCTAGAAGGTCCAGAAGGGACTAAGCAGAGAGCACCCTGCTCAGAGCTTGCTTTCTGGAAGCTCATCACAAGTAAGCTAGCAGAGAAAGCTTAGAGCTGGATGCTAATGCTCCCACTACTGTCCAGCAGCTCCTCTCCAGTTCCACCTCCTCTAAGCTGCTCTTGCTAAGGAAGTCAGAGACCTTCCTAACCAAACCCACCTCTCTCTCTTAGTCTACTTTCTACTATTTGATTTCTTTGGAGCAGCAGTTGACACTGCCCAGTTACTTTTTAAAAGTCATCAAGAAGTTAAACAAAGAATTGCCCTATGGCCTGACTTGCAGGTGTATGCCCAAAAGCATTAAAAGCAGTAGCCTGCACAGGCACAGCCAGCCCACGGGTGCACTGCCCAAACAGCCCAGAGCTAGACGCACCCAGCGAGAGTGAATGGATAAGTCAATGGCAGGACAGCTGTGCAACGGAGTATTGGTCAACCACCCAATGGTTACTAGGGAAATTAAAATGTTTATTGAAAATGTGTCTTGCTCTACCCAAGGCTAACCCTAAGCTCTAGATTGCTGCAACCGTGTGGTCCTATAAAGGATTTGGCAAAGCCAATAAACCGAAGTTAAAATGAGTAACTTTAGGCTATGTACCTTTTCTTTAGGTATCTTGAAACTCTCTGCTCTGGATCTCAGGATCCTTTAGCCTGCTTCTCTCTGCCCCACTCTACCCAGCCTTCTGGCCTCTGCGGTGGAAGAGCCTCTCCTCTGGCCTCAGGTTCTGCCTTGTCCTCCCTGCCTCCCTCCAAGTACTCGTCCATTCCGCTGTATTTTGCTCCTTCCGGGCATAAAACATAGCACAGAACAGGAGATGACCAACTATTTCTATTAATGAGTCTTAGATTAGCTCTTGCTATTTTAGCTGTGCAGCAAAACCTTTAAGCAGAGGGAAAGACAGGCTGCACTTTGAGCCCCCAGAGCAAGAACACAGCACATCAAGCTGTGTAAGAAAGACAGGTCACGTGGCACGAGCTGCAGTCACATGGCTTCAGAGAGGCGATGGCCACAGACAGGTTAAAAGGGATGGCCACTAACTGGGGACTCATGGCCAGCTTTGGCCCTTGCGAGGTCATAGCAAAGATGTGCTATATGCAGAGTAAGGGCTGCAGTGGGGACCAGATGACAGGTCTTGCGAGGGAGGTCTGGATTTTATGGTAAGATCTGCCCGTGAAGGGTTAATATTTGCAACCTTCTCTGAAGGCCAGGATGACTATGAGAAAGTAAAAACCCTTAAGGAAAGTCATAGTAACCTGTATAAAGGCGGTAACACTTTCCAGAGCGGTTGCGGCCCCCACGCCCTGCTCGCTGGTTGGCCGATGCCTGGGACACAGGAACCACCACCAGGCACTCGATGGCCGTCCTGGGGTTGTAGGCTCGGAGCTTCATGAAGCCACAGTCGATCACAAACACAATCCCACTGATTGTAATGGAAGTTTCTGCCACATTGGTGGCCACAATCACCTAAGATCCCCATAAGAAAAAAGTTACAAAAAAGTTACTCAATCTTTTCATCTTTAATAAACTACCCAAAGTCCTAAAAGAATTTAGAATCGACATGACAGCACCTCTGAGAGGCAGCCTGGGGCAAGTCACATGGCAAGTACCTCCTAAGCATGGTGCCTCAGCTACATAAGCCCCTCTCAGCGCTGGTGAGGAGTTATACATGAAATACAGAGCCTGGTGCTTGCTCCACAGCTAGTATTCAACAGGTATTAGCTTTTATATTTTGCACACAAAAGTAATTCACCATTTTGGGTATTTTACTCATTCATTCATTCACATACTTAACTATTTTCTGAGGGTCTGCAGCTTGCCAGGCGCTACTCAAGATGCAGGGGATGTATGATGAGTAAGAAAAACAAGAACCTGCTCTCCCAGAGTCTGCAATTCTTGTGTGAATGTGGGGAATAATGAACACAAACAAGGGGACAATTTCAGAGAGTGACAATACTATAAAGAAAATGGAGCAGGTAACAAACAACACAGTAGTGTGTAGCAGTCAAAGCTGTTCTATATTATAGCACAACAGAGAGGCATGCTACTTTCGACTGAATGGTCAGGGAAAGCCTCTCTAAAAAATGACCTAGAGCTGAAACCTGAGTAGTAAGCAGTCAATACTTTAGAGAACTAAGCAGAAAACATTGTTCAAAGCAGAGGAAAAGCAGATACGGGCCAAGTCCAGAGCAAGAAGATGATGCACCTGGGAGGGAGGCAGACACGGGTGTGTAGCCCCGGGGCCACCCGCAATGTCTATTCCATGTACCTGGCTGCCCCAGAGTCTGAAGCAGCAGAGGCCACACTCAGGCGGCAGTTAGAAGTGGCATTTTTCATCTCACTCTTGTCGGCTAACGGTATCACCGCGTGGAGCTCAGTCACGTGCACACACACGGGCCTGGGAGCACAGGTCCCACGTCCTTCACTAAAACATGTTTCACTCACAGATAAAACTCCTTAAGCAGTTTCCTTTTTTGAACCTGGGAAACAGTTTTATATTTTAATTCCTTTTCTTTGCTCCTCTAAAACAAGATGTTAAACCCGTCTCATGTTCCAAAACAGGATCCTGAAGCACTTGCATCTTGATGGAACATCCTTGGTTGCATTGGGACAATTAGAACTTTTTGAGACACTTTTACAGCACACATTTTCTAAATCCTCCCTAGCGTTTTCATGTAGCAGAGTCAGAATTCCCTGCCACCTGACTGTATGTGTAAGGGTTATTAGTATTTGTGCTTTTCTGAGCAGACCTGGAGGCTGAGTAGCTCATGTCAGGACACACGGAGACCCCAGGGCCTCCTGACTGGTCGGCTGCAGTTCACTTTTGACAAGGTGGACTTCAGTTGTTTAGATACAATGGCCTTGGGGGCGGAGGGGCTCCCAACCCTATTCCAGAGGTCTGAAGTTGGAGTGGAGCAAGCAGGAGACCTTCCCTTAACCCCTGTAGCCTCTGCCCCTGCTGATAAAGAGCTACCACACTACCTCGGTAGCGGACTTTGGGCCACTTTTGTGCATTCCTATGTAAGGGAGGAGAAAGCAGAGGGATAAGCATGACACTGACTAGCTGCCTGCTAGCTCCTTTAAGTCAGGCTGCCCTCCACACCCTTCCCCACCCCAATTCCAAGGCTAAATATTTGTAAGCCACACCTTGAATTAATTGACTTAACCTTGGCTCTATAGGCAAACTGATGCTTAAAACAAATAATATAGAAGCCATCTGTAATGACTTGCCTATTGTTACTGATGGATTACAATCCACCAAGCCAGCCCCTTAAGCCAAGGTCATGGGGAAATTCTAAGAAGGCAGAAAAGATGCAAAGCAAAGCCGCTTGATCTGATAATTACCGTCAGATTGACCCCTGGACAGGGCAGGCTTAGAAACCTTTGCAACACATACATATTGTGTGCTGCACAGAAGCATGGACCTAAATTCTTAAATCAACCTGTTTAGCAAGCTTCACATCAATTAAAAGAAAAACTCCCTCCAGTGCATTATTACAAAGGGTACAACAGGCTTACGGGTGGCCAGGGGTCAGTCTCACCTTTCTGACACTGCGGGACACCCGCTCAAACACTTTCATTTGCTCAAAGGAAGGCAGTCCTGCATACATGGGGAGAATGCGGAGGTGTCTCTTCATCCCAGTTCGGCCCAGGGCTCGAGCCTGCTCAATCAGCATAGACACAACAGTTTCCACCTCTTCCTAAAAGTCAGAAGCAAAGCAATCGAGCACACCGCATTACTATACCAAGAGAAAATAGTTGAAATCCACATTTTAATTTTGGTCAGACTCATGAATTTCTAATCGGGTGGAATTCTATCAGATTCCACCACATAAAGGTGCCTACAGGGTGTGAAGTCACAACTGTCAAATTAATTACGGAAGCCTTAACTACTGCCGTGCACAGAAACGGTCTCGATAAATAAAAACACTGACTCCCTTACTCGGCTTTCATGGCTGTGGCAAACAAAGCATTTCACACAGAGAGACAAGTTGTGGCACATGGAATCACTATCAGCTTTCCCCAGAAAGGATTACCAGGCTGTGGAAAGTGCTCGCCAGTGGAAAAGATGACAACCGGAGGGAACTGTGAGCAGCGCGCTACACCCGAAGAGCTCTCGGGCTCGCTCAGTGGTTCCCCAGCACAAGCCCACCCCCACCTCCAGGATGAGCTGTGAAGGTGCCCCCGAAGAGGTGCGCGGCAGCAGCACTGTGCAGCAGGACACGTGCTCGGCTCTGCTCCACCCTGTACACAACAGGGCGAGCGACGCAAAGTACAGGCTTTGCGCTGGAATCAGCTAGTAAGTTTAAAACAGACACGACCCTCTATAGGCAGAACTCCCTGACAATTCCATCAGCCGCCGAACATGTCCAACCAATCTTGATGCAATTAAGCGATCACAGAATTTAACAGAACATAAGACAAACAGCTCATTAAGGTAACAGGCCTGTGGTGCTGCCTGAACAAGTCTGTTCATCACAGAAAAAAGCTCAGAGGAATTACCTGGCCGGTAAGAAATGCTAGTATGTCTCCATCTCCCTCTGTCTGGTGAATTTTCATCACAGTCTCTACAGTTGATTTAATATAATCTGGAACAGGACTGAAGAGATACAGGAGATAAGTTCACCACCAGAATATGCTTGTTAATTATGCAGTGACAACTCAATAACCTGGCAGGCAGCAATGCTTCAGGAAAGTACTTTTGGTCTGTGCGGCAGGAAATCACATGAAGAAAAGAGATACATATTCTTTTTTCCTTTCTTTAAATATAGCGTTCAAAAATAATTCACAATTGCATGTAAACTATGATGATTTTTAGTTTATGCATTTGAAGTGAAAGCAACAAGCCCAAGCAAACAGATGTGCCATCTCCAGCACGCAGAGATGCCTGGCCAGCGAAACTCGGGAGCCACGGGGCTGAGCTGTATCCAGTTTTCTTCCTGATCACACGGTGTGTGAGCTGGAAGATGGAGCTACTAGGTAAGCTCCTCAGCTACCATAACTCAGGAGCCAGGCCCACAACCCTTCGATTTACCAGTCACTGGACCAGGAGATTGGCCTTTTATTTGACCAGTGACTGGATGCAGGAATGAAGATGACCCCTACCTGTTCAAAAGGATTAGTCACAGCTAGGCCAGCCAGGCCTGCCTGGCTAAGATGAGGAGCTCAGTACCAAGTGACTCAGTAACCCACCGATACTGCCAACCGGCACTCCTGTAAAACCCAATTTCTGAACGCTGTCAAGCCCTCCTTTTCAGAGCCTGTTATCACTTGATTTTTCCCATGGAAGCGGGTGACCAGATATCCATGGAAACCTGCACCTCAGTGGCAAGAATATAAACCAAACTCAGCAGAGATTCTGAGCAGGGTCCCAGAACATCCCACCAGTGACAGGAGACACAGCGTCGCTCCTCACCAGCTGGCTCCTGGAGCTGCGAACGGGTACAGTTGCTTCTCACTCTATGGCACAAGCCTAGTTTCTAATTGTGACCATTAAAAATGTATCATCAAACCTTTGCAGATAAAAGATATCCACTGGAAACGTCCGCCCTTCCACAGTAAGGATCACACACGTATCCCTGGAGGGGTCACTGGTGTCATTTTGATTAAAGAAATCCCGAAATTTCTAGGAGGAAAAAAAAATCAATTCTTCATTGCTTTTTTTAAAAATGGCTCATAGTAATTCATGGAAAGAAAGTAAATAAAATGCAAGTGGCAGAGCAAGGATGGGCAGGAGGGGCTGGACACACAGCACAGATACAGGCTGCAATGTAATTATTAAAAGTCACATTCTTACTGATTGCATTTGGAGAAATCACATCTTAATGACAGACTCTACTAAAGGTTTGAAAAAAACAATAAAAGATTACACTTCAGAACTACAATTAGTAGAATATTTGAGTCAATAAGTAGGTATGTAACATTTAGTTAATTCTTTTTTTTTAATTTAAAGCATCATTTAGTTAATTCTTACTCCACGGTCGTTACCTAACCAAAAATTAGGTTCCAGTTAAATGTTCTAGTTCATACAATTCAAGCTAGATGAAGGCTGACGCACAGCTCCAATGTGGGGCGCACAGATCTGATCAGAGACAGCTATCGACACACGAAGGAAACATACTTCTATGACTGCTTCTACGTCTGGCAGGTACGTGCCCGGCCCCACAGCTCCAGACTCAGACTACCCCTCCCCAGGAGACTTCAGTCCACGTGAGAGCATGTCAGTGTCTTCTCCATTTTTACCTGCCCTAGAGGGGTTAGCCTGCGGTAGGACAACACTACACGCTGTTCCAACATCCCCCTCCGCCAACCCCCACAGCACCCTGCTGAGAGAAGGGGCCCCGGCACTTCTTCCCAAACAGGTGTTCCCTTCTCGTCAGTGCACCTGACCACCAGACATGCAATAAACACACAGGGAAACCTGGCATGAGAGCTCAGGCCAACGATGGGCAGGGGTAGGGAGATCTACCAAAGATCCTCCTCTCTCAGGAAATGTAACCCAAGATGCAGAGAAGTGGACACCACAAAGGCCTGAGAAGAGCTTACAACCCAAACCAGCCGGTGTGTGCCGGCCAGGACACGGCTAGGCAGTGGCTGGGGAGGCGCAGACGTGCCGCCAGGTGCAGCTGCCGTTATCGGACCTGTATGGCTTCCCTGTCCCCCGATCCCAGGTCGCCTGGACCCTCACTGCACGTTAGTTTCTACACTCCTAGGAGGCCTGGCTAGGTACTCCCACATCCTACCTTCTCTGCTCCCTGCATATCTCTACAAAGCACACCAGGCTGCTCAAGAAACTGGGACGCCAGGGCTGCACGAAACACAAGTGCATGCATGGAACACAGAGGGAGCAGGCTGGAGGTGGATGCTAGAATAACCAACCGGGCTCAACAAAGTATTCGGGTGCCATACCAGGCTTCCAGCCTCCAAATCATGTTGGAGAAGAGCAAGCACAGGCATTAAAGTGCCTCATGCCAACAAGACCCTTGTTGTGTCGTGAGGAGGCATGTGGCATCGTGCTTCACTTTTCTCTGGGGCAAATGCCCTTCAAGTGGCTTCTGCCTCCCCATGCCCTGTGAGGCAAAGTGAGTGAGGAGAAACAGGTGGGGTGATCCAGAGACATGTGCACAGAGCCAGGCAGGGAGCAAACCGAGGAAGAATAACTAAGAGGCCAGAAAAGAGCTGCACATTACAACCTCAGAGATGAAAAGGTCCCTAATTGCTGGGTTTGGGGAAGGCTTCCTGGAAGTGGCATAACCCTCAGCTAAGGAGAAGAGGCAGCCCTTCCCAGAATGACAGCAGATGCAGACTACGACATCAAGGGGCCCCTGACAGAGGCAAGAGCTAAGGTAAGGGCGGAAGGCCTCACCTCTGGGGTATCGCTGTTGGGTACAAAATGAAGAAACTGCTGTCCACTCCCTGTGATACTGCAACAGGTACAGGTCTGGCCTAGTGGGACTCAAGGGATTTCAGTTCTCCCACTGAAGCAGCCACATGTCCTGCTACATATTAGCACTGCATTCCGTGAGCAAGACAAGGGTATGCGATCATCAGACCTTCTTCTGGTGCCAAACTCTAGTAGCCATTCTGGAAAACAGCAGGGGCAGGAACCAGATGCAAGCAGGCTAACTAAAGACGCTATTACAACAGGTCAGAGGAGAGAGATTAAGAGCGTGAACGGGCCAGGTGCATGAGAAAGGAGTGCATTCCAGAGGCCTGGCTGTCACTGACATGGGCACACACGTGAACGTTAGGGAGGATGGAATTACTCAGTACTCAACCCAAGACAAGAACTTCCTAGTCACGGCAGTTCTGAGCCTGACTGCTGAGGAAGAGAAGGCACAACATCCGGAAGCTGGAGCCACAGATCTGTAGGTCTATGACTTTCAGTGGCCTGTGACTAGCCAGCTCAGATTGGGGCCGGGTGCACAGTCAAGATGACAGAGCACCAAGTACCCACAAAACCACAGGCCATGGGGGTGGGTAGGCGTGGAGAAGAGCAGCAAAGAAGCCTGAGGGGAAGCCACAGGGAGGAGGAAGAGGAGAGGTGATCAGGCTCTGAGGTTTGTGGGAGGAAGAGGAGGAAGATGCTGAGAGTTGAGTGTCACAGTTGAGTGTCATCAGAAGCCAGCAAACCAGGGAGGAAGTTGGTACCGAATGATTTTGTTGGAGTGGGTGGCCACAGCTTAGGCACTAAAGGAGTATGTGGCACTAAAGAGTACAAAAGACAGGGAGTCACTCTTTCCAGAAACAACATTTAGCATTTACTGAGAAGCACAAGATCTTTATCCTAAAGGTCTTTGTCTTTTCTCCTTCTTTGGAAATATAAAATACACGCAGAGACCACAGGCTAGAAGGAGTACCAAGAGCGCACGCACCTCAGGCAGAACAAGGAACGGGAAGGAGGGGGCACCTAAGAGACTTTCAGTCAGGCAGAAAGAAGCGAGACCCCCTGACACAGACACACATAAGAGACTTAAAATCTTGTAAAGGAAGAGCATTGTCCATGAAATGCAGGGAAGGGATCAGAACACGTGCTGGGTCAAGTCCCCGGCTCACCACGCTTCTCTCCCCAGTAGCAGCTCCCACCTGGCCCACAGGACAGGGCTGTCGCCAGCTATGTCTGGGCAGCACACCCACCCCTTGGCCTACCATCCTTAGCCTGTGCAGACTGGTCCCAAGTAGATACCTGACCCAAGTGACCCCAGTTCCGTCTCTAGGCTTCTGGAAAGAGAAACTGGTTTCTCTCCTAGCTGGACCCATGACAAAAAACTGTGGGAGTTCCCAGCAATCCTATTTTCTACCACATGGATGGAAGCGAGTAAAAGAAAAACAATAGCATATGATACAATGGGCAATAAATATTTCATAACCATACCTGGTCATAGTCTCTAATTGCTTGCTTAATTAGACACATCAACAAAGCAGCTAACCCAATCAAGGCAACGACTGGACCACCCCCGTCATACTCCACTCGCCTTTGCCTCCCAGCCACGGTCACCGGTGTCCTCACCAGCAGGCTGGGCCACCCTGGGCCTGAGTGAAGCCAGGGCAGGTGGCATCAAGTCCCCCAGGCAGTGGGGCCTGGAATGGTCTGTGGCTCACGGAACCCGCAGCTGGGAGGCTGGGAATGAGTTCTAGCACCCCCGAGCCTCTATCCAAAGGCCATGGGAGCCACACTCTGCCCAATCCCACACGCCACTAACCCCCTTCAGCCCACAACTCTCCTCTTTCCGGCTCATCCACATCAGTGACTATCGGAACTGCAAGATTTTTTTTCCTTATCTTTGTCACCCTCTTCCCCTTTAAAGTTTTTTCCCTAGTAATTTTATTGTGTTTGAAAATGATAATGTCCAAGTCTTTTCTTAGAATTATTGTTAACATTTATTGCCTATAATTGCCTCTCATTAATTCTTGGTGTGGCACAGAGAGTTAAATCTCTGGGGCATTTTTAAAATATTTTTTAATTTATTTTTAATTGAGGTAATACTGAAATACCCCATGAGGGATTTTTTCACCTGCCAGCAGCGCACCCAAAGGCCACCACCACAGACCTCTGACTTACTTCACTTAGCATCCTTCAAGCCCCATCCATGTTGATGTATGTGGCAAGAGTTTATCTTTTTGGTTTGCTAAGTGGTACCCCACTATGGATATATGCCACATCTTCTCGATCTACTCATCTGTTCTGGGGCACTTAGCTTGCTGCCATAATTTAACTATAGCAAATAGCACTGCAATAGGCATGGGAGTGCAAGTTTCCTCCTGAATGAAGAACTGAAAGATTTAATCTCTGTGCCACACCAAGAGATAATGAGAGGCAATTATAAGCAATAAATATTAACAATAATTCTAAGAAAAGACATTATAGTTTTAAATAAAAATAAAAACTACTGGGAGGGAACCTCCCTGGTGGCGCAACAACTTAAAGCACAGCACTGCAAAGCTAGTCTGAGCCGATTTAGCATGAGTTCGATCCCCAGCCAGGGAGGTGACCCACGTGGCACAGCAGACCTCTCCTGTCTCACCCACTGTTCCACTCAGCGATGTATTTCATCAATCTGCCTGTTCTGCTCCCCACTGTCACTGGTGAATCCCCTCACACCCCTACATCTCTGGCCTGTACCCCAGTTCTGTATGCATGAATAAATAAATCTTTAAAAAAAAAAAAAACTACTGGAAAAAAACTTTGAGGGAGAAGAGGGTGGCAAAGTTAACAAGTAAGCAGAGGACTAAGTTCAGCGCAACTTAGCCAGCCAGGAGAGGAGACATGACAATAGGAGGGGGTCCTCAAAACAGCATTCCAGCAGGCATCATGGGCAGAGGGGGTAAAAATTCAAGAACAGAGAAGCCTTGATCCAAGACTTGTACAAGCAGACTTAAGTCAACAGACTTCTATAGCTGTGACAGAGCTAAAGAAACGAGCCTGGCGACACATGCAGACCTCTCTTGGCCAGCTGAGCTTTTCCTCTCTCGGGGCTGTCCGGCATCCCTGAATCCACAGGGAGATGGAAAGCTGGCCCTGTTCACACCTCAGCTGGATGACAGCTCTGGCCTCCTGACTGGCATCTCCACCTCTACTCTTGCGTCTTCTACACAGAAGCCAGAACAATCGTTCTAGAACCCAAATATGAGCAAGTCTGCTTCCCCAGAAAGTCAGAGAATGTATGAATGCCCTATAGTCAGCGTCGTGATTAATAAATATACATCTGTATATATAGACTATGTGTGTGTATGCATGTGTGTGTGTGTGTATCTATACACATACGTGTGTGTGCGCGCAAATGGCCAAACTTATTTGTTGAGCTCAATTACAGGCTGAGTTGAACAGAATGAATAAAATATAGTCATTAAGAGAGAAAAATGGAAGTTTAACCTTAAAAAAATAGAAATGATGTATACACCAAAATAGTCTAAATATAAATGCTGTAGTCATAAATTCAAGCAGTATAGAGTCAACCAAAACAAAGTTAAAGAAAAAAAAAAGCTACTGCCTGTGCAAGGAGAAACATGTATGTGGAGAAACAAGACAAGTAGGTAATTACGAACTCAATTAATTACAGGCTAATTCCCACCCACAGGCTGGAGATGAGTCCTCTGATCCCACAGAATCTAGGACATCAGATGGCCCCACAGGGGAGGGAGGCCATTCTGCCAGAAAGCTCTGCCAGAGGAAACTTCCCAAGGGCATGTCCAGCAATTCCAGGACTTAAAGGGGGCCGGGAGGGGAGGGCAGAAAATGCTCATACCTCTGCATCCAGAGTGGCCGAAGCTACAATCAGCCGAAGGTCCCCCCGCTTTTTCTGAATCTAAAAGAGAAGGCATCAGCAAACCATGTGAATAGTGAAATTCACAGATGAAATCACTTGGTATCAGAAATGTACTTCACAACGGTTCAGTGTATGTATTTTGGGTGTGTGGGGGAGTAACTTATAGATAAAATAAGACTGATTGTGCTGGCCTTTCTAATTAAAGTTTCCAAAATAAAAAGCTAAAACAATTTTTTTTTAAAGTATAAAGGAAATTTTAAAACCTGGCTTTGAATTTACCCTGAATAAAAGCAATTTTTTCTTGACTCTTCAGTCTCTGTATCACCAGAATCAATGTATATAGTCACAAGTATGAAAAAGTACATCAGAAACAAAAGAATAAATTATGAAATCAAAACCGAAATATGGACAAAAAAGAAATATTGAATAGGTAAAGTACATTAGAAGCAAAAATAATAAAATCAAAACAAATACAGACAAAAGAAACAAAACAAAGAAAACAAAGAAATAAGAAAAATGATCAAATAAAGTACAGCAAAATAAACAGTAACAGGGGCCTCATTGATGGCACAAGATGTCAAGTCTCAGCATCTGAAGCTCTCCCAGCCACTGCAGCACAGGTTTGATCCCCGGCCAGGGAGCTGACCCACAAGGCGCAGCAGACCTCTCCTGTCTCTCCCGCTGCTCCCCTCTGCAGTGTATTTCAGTAGGTCTGCCTATTCTGCTCCCACTCTGTGCTGGGGAATCCTCTCATTCCCTGTATCTCTGGCCTGCACCCCAGTTCTTATATGCATAAATAAAAATAAATCTTAAAAACTATACATACAGGCCCTCCCTGGGGGCGCAGTGGGTTAAAGCACTGCACTAAGAAGCTTAAACCACTTCCCCATGAGTTCAATCCCCACCTGCCCCGGAGGAGATCCACATGGCAGGCAGACCTCTCCTGACCCGCCCGCTGCTCCCCTCGCAGTGTACTTCGTTGATCTGCCTGTTCTGCTCCCCGCTCTGTCTCTGGTGAATCCTCTCACCCACCACATCTCTGGCCTGTACCCCAGTTCTGTATGAGTAAATAAATAAATCTTTAAAAAAAAAAAAAAAAACTATACATACAGCAACAATGAGATTTTTTTTTATCTATCACACTGGCAAATATCTATTTTTTTTTAAAGATTTATTTATTTATTCGTAAAGAACTGGGGTACAGGCCAGAGATGCAGAGGGTGAGAGGATTCACCAGAGACAGAGTGTGAGCAGAACAGGCAGATCGACAAAGTACACCACCGAGGGGAGCAGTGGGTGGGTCAGGAGAGGTCTGCCACGCCATGTGGATCTCCTCCGGGGCAGGCGGGGATCGAACTCATGCGGAAGTGGCTTGAGCTTCTTAGTGCAGTGCTTTAGCCGGCTGCGCCACGAGGGAGGACCCCAAATATCTATGTTTTTTAAGGCTAATACTCAGTGTTGTCAAAGATTCAGTAAAGTCCTCTTCTTATACTGTTCTGAGAAAGTTGTAAGCTGGTGGGATTACCCTCACCAATATCAAAAAGTCTTAATCTTTGGCCAACAAACAAAATAATGAAAATAACAGTAGTAACCAACAGCTAACATACACATAGTTATGTGTTGTCAGGGGGTTCTTGGGTCCAGGTACATCAGATACACATTGCTCAAAGGCACATGAGAGTGGGCGAGAGGTATCTCATACCTATCTGCCCTGTCCTCACCTGGCCGTGAACTTCCTCCCAGGATGGCATCTCTTTCTCATCTGGTCTATTTGTGACCTTGTGCCAGGTGCCATCTGAAAATTTTACCATGGTCAGACCTACAACAACAGATTTCTACAGCCTGTGAGAGGATGTACCTTCTAGATCTGATTTATTTATTTTTAAGCCTCACAACAGAGGATGATAGAGCAGTGCTGTCCATAGTGGGACTGCAGAACTGAATCTCCTCAACATTCTACTTTATTCTATTTTTAACTAATTTAAATGTCAGGTGTCTAGTGGCTACCAAATAGGACGTGTGCCAGTACATATGTAAAGGGGTGCATTATCCCACTGCAGAGTTGTGAACACAGTAAAGTCAGAATTTTAACCCAGGGAGTACAACCTAGTCTACACTTCTAACCACCCTGCTCTGCTACTGTTTTTTACTGCTTGTGATTGGGAGTTTGTTGAAAAAAATCAGAAAATACATCAAGAGAGGAGAGGATGGAGGTAAAGTCAAAACAAGATTGGCCATAAGTTTTAACTGCTGAAGTCAAATGATGGGGGTGGGGCGGCAGAGAGTTGGGGGGAGAAGGGTCCTTAAACTTTTTGTTCTACTCTGGGTATGCTTGACATCTTCCATAATAAAAGCTTAAATAAAATAAGAAAGGAAGAAACAGACATGCAATAGATTTAATACTAAAGGTGCTCACTGCAACATGAGTTAAAATCCTTCCAATCAAGAAGCCATAAAATGCCCAATAACAGAGGGAGAGTCAAATACTTTCTGGTAAACATGTTAAAAAATGACGTCCCCAGGCCCTCCCTGATGGTGCAACAGTTTAGAGTGCAGCACTGCAAGCTAGCTGCAGCCGCTTCAGTGCGAGTTTGATCCCCGGCCACGGAGGTGACCCAGATGGCATGGCAGACCTCTCCTGACCCGCCTGCTACTCCCCTCAGCAGTGTACTTCAAAAATCTAGTTGTTCAGTTCCCCACTCTGACTCTGGTGAATCCTCTCATTGCCTCTGCACCTCTGGCCTGTAACCCAGTTTTGGATACATAAGTAAATAAATCTTTTAAAAAAACATTTTCTAGTAGAAACAAAAAGAACTTTTTAAAAAGTAAAAAATAACAATGTCCTCAAAAAAAAAATGGTATACATACAACACAAAAAAATGAAGAAAACATACCAACATTCTTATTTTTTAAAAGATTTATTTATACACACAAGAACTGGGGCATAGGCCAGAGGTTAGGGGGGGTAGGGGGAATTAGAGGGTTCACCAGAGACAGAGTGGGAAGCAGAACAGGCAGATCAACTGAAGTAAAACTGCTGAGGGGGAGCAACAGGCAAGACAGGAGAGTTCTACTGCGCCATGTAGGTCAGCTCCCTGGCTAGGCATTGAACCTATGCTGTAGTGGCTGGCGATAACTTGATAGCACTGAGACTTTAACACCTGAGCCACCAGGGAGGCCCAACATACCAACATTCATGGAAAACCAGTGAATTTCTCTGAGAGGGTAGAAGTATGATTTTAATTTTTATCTTTCCTATTTTATTGGACTTTCCAAATTGCTAAAATTATATTCCTAATCAGACAAGAAAACAAAAATGTCTGGCAGCAAAGTCATACCTTTTTCAGTAAGCCAATAGCAATATCAGTGTACAAAGTCCGCTCATGAGCTTCATCCAGCATAATAACACTAAGAATCAAAGTAAAGAGCTCAGTAAACATTAAACAAACCGTCCAGATCATCCCATCCATCTTCGAAGGAACTGCTAGGTAGTTAGCCCCCATGCAATCAATCATCTTATACCACACATAAAGCTTTAACTCTTCTCTGACAAGGATATAACTCCTCAGCTAGTAAGAATGGTGCCATCAACATATCTTGGTGTTTTCAACATATCTTAAAGAAAATAGTGTTTTTAATTGCTACCTTTGAAGAGTCTTAGCACCCGCTCTGGTTCCCCAAGGGATCTAATACCTGGCTTAAATTATAATGGAACATAATGCCATACAGAGTACATCCAACTAGGAACAAGGCCCAGCCTCCCAAAGGATTGCTGAGCTGCCGAAAACAACACAAAGAAGCACGTGATCACAGCTGTGTCCCGTGTGTACAGCCAGTTAAATGTGACATCCTTTCTCAGAATACTACAGAGACTGGGTAAGGCAATGCTAATGTCTAAGTGATGGGACCAAGACAAGCAAGGAGAAAGTGTACATAACGACTTGAATCCTACACATTAACACTCAACAAAATGCTGGCCAGGTCTGCGCTGTGTGTCTGCAGTCACCATCAAGCCTGAGCTACAGGGGGAAAAGATAAAAATGACAGGCCACCATGTCTCAAATAGTAACAGGATCTTCTGAGCCTGTTTTTTGACTTTGTAAATATTGAGGAAAAAAATCACTAGTTGGAATAGACAAAGTAAGGAGAAAAGGCTTGGGGCAGCGGCTAAGCACAGGGACAGACCCCAGCTACTAACCTTCCTGCTCCTCAAGCTACTTGTACCCTAGGAAACATTAGGAAAGTACCCACAGGAAAACACGTTACCTGTACTTTGTTAACAATGGATCAACCATCATTTCCCTGACCAGCATTCCATCAGTCAGAAACTATAAAACAAAAGCACAAAGATTTAGAAATAACTTAAGTACACTGTAGATTAATATTTGTTTGTTTTAAGCCTTTAAGTGCAACCAAGCCCACAGAGCCTCTGTCCTGGTAGGTATACAAGACAATTCCTACAAAGGACTGGGAGGAAATGCCCCAGCATTTTAGTTATTGAGCAATGGAGTTACTGACAAGCAAGAATCCAAAGAGGGGAGCCTCAGCACGGCTGGGCAGATCTTTTAGCAAAACTCCACCTGATTTACTCTGTAAACATTAGCTCTGGCCCATTTCCTCTGGGTCGGCACCATGGTACTCGTGATGAACATTATGCCCAAATGGAACACAAAAGCTTGTCATGTACAACTCAAACAGAATCATCCAGTTACGTAACCCACTGAAATTTAACTAAAAGTAGCTAGTTTAGCTATATTTCCTTTATCCTATAATACCAATGTCAAAGGTAATAAAAATAGAGAAATTTGGAAAATGAGGTCCATCTTTTTACAAATGTGTCATTTAGCTCATCTGATTGTTTTCAAAAGTTCCTCTTTTGCAAATTGGTAGGTAAGATCCAATAACCAATTTTCATTTCACCAGAACATTTTCATGCACTTACAGACCACTCTGGTTCTACTGATTTCAGCAGAGCAGTACATCACACACACTGTTGATGGTACCCTGATTACTGTCTACACTATTTGAATACTGGCAACTAGATCAAAGAACATATGCAGAAAATCCATTATCTCGGAAAAAATCTAGTGAGTAAAAATGACATTTGTGAATTCTATATCAATCCACACAGTCCCCGTTTTTAAGACTTTTACAGGGAGTTTCTATATTTAGACTTAAGCATACAGATAGTGGGAAAAAATTAAACATCCATGAAAAAGAACAGCTTTGAGTCTGGGTTCTATCACCAGCAGGCACAAATGGGAATCCATTCAGCACCCCTAGTCCTCACAGCCTTTATCTGTAGAAGCAAGCATCTAACCTTATTCCAAGATCCGTTCTAGGCTAACATAATATCCAAGGACTCTTTGAAAGAGCTCTGGACCTCCAAGCAGACCGACCTCCCCAAGGGACAGGGTGATTCTATACACTTCCTGCCACAGTGCCCACCAAGCAGCTGTTGTGTGTTTTAACTGCCCCTAAATAATCTCCTTATTTGCATCAGGGAAAGCAGCCCAGCACCTCACCTTTATGCGTGTAGCCAGCGGGTCAGTGCAGTCGTCAAAGCGGATGCAGTAGCCCACCTCATGGCCCAAGACCGCACCCCGCTCCTCAGCTACTCTCCCTGCAACCTTTGGGAAGAAAGAGCATGCTGAAAACCGAGACGTAGAAATTACTGCACAGAGCACATTCTATGGAAAATCTAAAGGTCACTTGTCAGTAAATAGTATACGAACACAGTGGGAAATGAGAAGAAAAGGGGCAGGTTATTAGAAAACAAGTGTGATAACATTTGCAGTTTATTAACTTTATATATCTGACCACATTCTATAAGTGACCTAAGACCACTTATAAGAACACATGAAATATAAATGGAATCAAGTAAAAATGCTAAAGATCATGATCCAAGAAATTACAGATAAAATCCAAATGATCAAAGCCAATGAGAGAAATTCAAAAACAAAGATCAGCCAAAGTTATTTAAATTGGGTCACAAATTTAGCTCTAAATTCCTGGTGGCTAAAGCAGAAAATATTGTAAGATTCGTCCTGTTCCTAAAGCAGCACACCAACTGGAGCCATGCTTGCATTTCTCCATGCCTTGAAAGAAAGCACCTTCCACTGGACCATGAAGACAGGAAAACAGGATTGAATAAATTCAAAACTGAGCCAAGTGAATTTTCTCTTTGGAGACAAAAAGGTACAATTTTTCAAAGGTCAGATAACCTTTCAGTTCCAGTTACCAAACCAGTGAAGGGGAAATGAAAACAAGAATGCTGATTTAACAAAAAATAAATAAGGTGATGAGCAGATAAGAACATTCACTAGGATCCAAGTTACATAGTACAGTTAAAAAAAAAATAAAAATAAATAAAAAAAACACAGCCCTCCCTGGTGGTGCAGCGGGTTAAAGCACAACACTGAGAAGCTAGTGCCACTTCCACATGAGTGCGATTCCCGCCTGCCCCAGAAGTGGCCACATGGCGAGGCAGACCTCTCCTGACCCGCCCGCTGCTCCCCTCAGCAGTGTACTATCAATCTGCCTTTTCTGCTCCCCACTCTGTCTCTGGTGAATCCTCTCACCCCTGAGCCTCTGGCCTGTACCCCAGTTCTGTATGAACAAATAAATAAATCTTTAAAAAAAAAACACATGGAAACACATGGGTGATTTAGTGATGGGAAACCCAACGGGCCTGCAACTGAGATGGAAAAATGCACAAAAATATGTAAAAATAAACTAATATAATAAAAAATTTAAAAAAAAATTTTTAAACCCATAGTACAAAGACCACAAACCCACCAAATTACAAAAGGGGAGCACAGAAAAGAGGAGCCCAATGCAACATCCTCTACTGCCCCAGCAACTAGTCAAAGGTTATACCTTACCAATAGAAAATATTTGAAATAAAAAAATATTAAAGGAGAACAGCAATAATGCTGAAAATTTAAATTTAAAAGAAAAGGTTAACTTTGATTATGCAACCTGTCTAAGCTGGCAAAAACCAAAGGGAAGCAGTATTCGAGGTTTTCTGGGGCGGACACACCCACCCCTTGTGAAACAGGCCGTTCTCCCTGGTTCACAGGTGAGGCCTCCTCCCCTCGTCAGCCCAGGCCAAGTCTGGAACACGGGCCGGCACCGGAGGCGTCCGAGGCTGCGCTGTCACAGCACCCCCAAGCTCAGGAGCCCACGCGCCCTGCACTGGGCTCTGCGTCGAGCACAACAGAGTAAGCTGGCCGAAAGTGTTTAGGAAACTGAAAAGCGATGAGCATCAGAAGTGACTCTGTCTCTCGACTTGATGGTAGAGACTTCGAGGGCCGAAACAGAATCAATCACCGAGCAGCTGGTCTATACCACACAGTCTTTCAAAACATCTTATGAAAGCAGAAATTCATCGCACACTGCTCTACTCTGGAGGTTATTATATTCCCAATAACCAGTATTTCACCAGGACAGTCTGTTATTGTTTCAAATTCAACCCTACAGATCCTTATACTATAAATCCTGGAAAACAGCAGAGGACATGTGCCTAGAGTGGCACTACTGGGAAAACAGGCCTTGAAAGCACAAGTGAACCAGCCCTCTCCGTGACAAAGATAATCATTTTAAGGGTCTAAAGAGTAAGAAATCAGGGCCCTCTCTGGTGGCACAAACGGTTAAAGCACAGCACTATGAAGCTATCACAGCCACTGCAGTGCAAGTTCGATCCCCAGCCAGAGGGATGACCCCCATGGTGTGGAAGACCTCTCCAGCCCCGCCTACTGCTCCCCTCAGCAGTGTGTTTCAGTACATCTGCCTGCTCTGCTCCCCACTCTGTCTCTGGTGAATCCTCTCACCCACCCCCACACCTCAGGCCTGTACCCTAGTTCTGTGCATTAAGTAAATCTTCAAAAAAAAAAGTAAGAAACCAACAGGTTTATTCTTACTATTTCACTAGTACACATTTACACAGAAAATATGTATTGTCTTCAAACTCTTTAATATTATCATTCATGATCGTACCCACTTGACATTAGAGGTCATATTCTACTGAGTATTTAATCGATCTTCACCACTATTAATTTAAGTTCTAGATCCAAGAACATCAACAACTAGACTGGACAAATATGGTCTTTTTGGCAGAAGCAAATAAATTAAAAAGGCAAGAAAAGCCAATCTCTGAACCCTCCTAAGTGGCAAGAGCAGTGCTCTAGTCTCCATTAGTGAATCTAATTAACAAATGCACAGGTCCTGAGGTGGACAAAAGAGCCTCCTTTTAACAAAGAAACTGAAATGTGGCTGGCATGAGAGCGTATCCTGAGTCACCGGGCCTAACCAAACTCAGACCACAGGAGCTAGTAACTGCCTCTCAGAGCTCAAGCAACAGCTTATGTAATCTGTTCTTAGTTTCTGACATTGTTTTCAGATTTTGGTCTGTACACAAAGTACTTTTTGAGATGTAGCATTTTAAACTTGACAGCTCTATTAATACTACACTTTATTTATAAACTCTTTGTTCTTTCAAGAGAACGCATGTGGTTTCATGGAAATCATCCATGGGTACAAATTTGGAGCTAAAATGCAAGCTGAAGTAGAACTGGGATTCCGAACCCCAAATGGGAAAAATTGTTCTAATTGTTAAGTAACTGAGTCATCACTCAGTGGCATAAAAGGTTAGCTCCATTTTTTACCTACACATTAAAAAAAAGATTTGGAATGAAGTCTTCATCAGTAATTTCGGTGGGCAGTGTGTTCCAGCCAGAAAACAGAAAACACCTCAAGTGAAAAGTCATCCTGACAACAAAGAATCTAGAAATTGAGGAGAAAGCAGGCAGGAAGGCAAAAGTATCAGATCCCAAATCAGAGAGACCACAGAATTTTACTAGGAGCCAGACCTCTCAAAGAGCTGAAGCACACACTGCAGAAGCCCACTCCCCACCTCACCCCTCCACGCCCGATTCCCAGCAAGGAGTTAAGATGGAGACAGGCCACACATTATCCAGACCATATAACCTCACAATTCTGCAGCAATCAGAGGTCCCACTCAAAGGTGAGTAATTACCATAAAAGGTTAAGTCAACATTAAAGCTGATAGAAGGGGAAAAAAGGAAGGAATATAAGTGAAAAAGTTGTTTAAAATGAAACTATAAAAGTGTTACCCCGAAACAGTAGAATTCCGCCAAAGACATATAATTTCATTCAGGCTAATTACAAGCTAAACTGAAAAGAAGTTAGAGACACAACGTCAAAGGAATGTTGAGGACAAATGACGTCTCAAATGTACAAGTCAGAAGTCAGGCTGCAGAATCCTCCAAATCCCACACCTTGGACACAAAAGAGCTAGAGAGGCTCTTCCCAATTTGAGAACGATGTTACAAACAGCCAGTCACAAAGCTAAAGGAACTTTTCTACAGTGCCAATAATAAAAAGCAAATCTGAACAAATCATGCTAGAGAAATAATAAAATATCACTCCATCCTCTCTGTAGGAAAATAATAGAAAATCACTGTCCTGTGAAGAGATGATTAACTGGAATACAACCAAAAATACAGGAAAAAAATATATTTATAGAAATGTGTTATAAAGTTAATAAAAACACTGACTTCATTTTTAAAAAATATTTGTGATATTATCAGCCTTTAAAATTTATAATGTATAATAATGTCATCTCGCATTCTACACATACACTTCTCTACCTAGTAAAGAAAAGAAAAAGCACTCAAAGATGTAAATGATACCCAGTTAGAGATATAAAGGAACCAAAATAGAATAAATGTGACTAAAAATAATCATGAACATTGTGGACAGGCCTGAAGAAACCCCACACAACAAACTGCGAAAGAATAGATGACTCCAGTGATGTGATATATATACTAATAATAGACAAGGAAAAGCTAATATACAATTAATTGATGCTAAAATAAATGCAACAGAAAAGCATGCTGAGATAAAATAAAACTTCCCTGATATAAAGAGACTTAACCCCAAATATTTAAAGTTCTCCCACATCTAGGAAAATGGAGAACAAGACACCAAGACAAATATCCTGACACAAAAACAATTTCACAAGCATTCAAGGAGAAAAAGCAAGCCAGAAAACAGGGGGGAAGAAACACTAGATTTCTGTACAGTGATCCTCCATGTTAAAAGGCAATGGAGCAAGGTCTGCATAGTTCCTAGGGAAAGAGAATCAAGAATCTTCTATCAACAAATACCACAACCAAACAATCTCAGGGATATAAAATGCAAGCAATCAAGAAATAAAGGGAAATAAGTAAGTCAGGATCAGCAAAACCACAGAAAACAATTAGTGATGAACATTAGATCTATATAATATAGAATTAGAGCTAAATCTCTTGGGAGTTTAAGTTAAAAGAGCTTAAGTCATAAATCTTAAACAATAGAGTGCTGGCTCTACAACAAACTGTAAGCAAAGGCAGATGAAATAAATGTACTCAACTACTCTCTTTCTTAACTGGAAATACAGCATACTTTCAAAAATAAGTAACATCCTCAAGTTTTTTGTAATCTTTTTTCTTAGTTTTCAAACTCTAGTCAAAACTCTATGGTGAACAAATATCTATCCAAAGTTCAGTAACTACATTTATTTTACTTGTTGCCTCTTTTACTAACTACAACAAAAGCTGCAATCCCTTTTTTATAAAATAATTTCTATCTATCCAGCCAAACATTCCTCTTTATGTAAAAATAAAAGAGAATTTAAAGAGAAGCCCTTTTTTTTTTTTTAGAATGATGCCACAAATGTTCACAATGTTTTTCCTGGGCAGTAAGATCTTTTTTGCTATTGCTGTTTTATTTAACTTTATTAACATTTAAAAATTTAATGTACTGTATCAATTTTGCAAAAGGAATAAGAGCACAGTTAATTTTTAAATAACTTGAAAAACTAATTTCATAAGGAGCAACATCATACTCCTTTGCAGTCCTTAGGAAATAAAGAAAAATTAGGCATTGAAACAGAAGAACAGAGAGTCTTTGCAATAGCAAACAAGTAACTCACTGTAACAGCAGCCACTCTCCGAGGCTGGGTCACTCCTATAACTCTTCCTTCTGCCGTCCAGCCAGCTTCTGCAAGATACTACAAATACAATGACATCTTAGTATACATCTGATACCACTTCTTGAGAACAATCCCCCCAAAAAAGCCCTGCACTGTGTTCAAACCATTGAGAAAGTAAATAGCAGATGGTTCTTGTACTAGCAGACGTTCTGGAAATTGTTTTTGCAGATGACAGATCTGAGGCTTGCAACTGTGAGGTATTTTGCTTAAATTCACATCAGAGCTGATAAACAGAAGAACCAAGGCACACATTCAACATTCTGACTCCCCAGTCCTACAAAACAGCCATGAACTACAAGTATCTTGATAATAAAAACTACCCATGGATCTCTCCAAAGAGTGCTAAATCTGCAGAACAAAGAATTTTAAGATACACAGAGAGAATGTGTACCAGTAACACATGTCCCAACCACATAAGATATATAAATACCAATCATACAAGATATTTTATTTCAAGTAAAAATAATTAGATATTGCACACATACTACATTCCATTAGATCTGTTAGTATACATAAGACTTGTTTATACATATTTATCTGACTGGTTTATCTGACATACTTGTATTTCTTTGTTATATGTTGAGTTGATTATTTGCATTTTGAAAACCAAAATGGCTGACAGTGGCTACCACAGTGACATGTTCTTGTAATGTCATTTTACAAAGAATATATATTACTTCTTAAGTGGGGGGGAAAGGCTTTAAAATGCTATTACATCTATCTGCTTATTTATTCAAAGAAACAGGAAAGATAAGTCAGAAATTAAAGAGAATGGTGTCTATGAGGAAGGGAGAAGGGCAAGGGGATGAGGGAGCGACAACTGAGTACATGACTTCATGTGGCGCCCCTCGCTGAACTACAGTCAAGTGCCACATAACCTTTAAACACTCCAAAATAAACAGGGTGTAGAGGGAAACCAAAAGGAAATGCAAACACTAACAAAACAGCCTTTAGTGTTACGAATAAACCACACTGAGGGGAAAGACAGGAACCACCTAAGCGGCTGGGAAACAGGAACTTAACTAGATGCTATAAAGTTAATAACAAAAATAATTATACTTAAATGCTGTAATCCAGCTAATAAATAGCCTAACGGGGGCATTGGTTAGCAATTCTGAAACTATTTTATGAACATACTAGAATTTAACAAATAAGTACAAATTGTAGATGATGAGGACTGAGTTTCTCACAGCTGGCGAGAAATTACTAGTAATGAAGGGCTAAAATAAGCCCTATGGTGTTGGACTAGAATCAGAAGTGTCAGCATAAATGGGCGCTTTTTAATATACAGATATATATTTTTAATGTGAGGGTTAACATAACAAATATAGTTCCTAAGTCTGCCACTGAGACTTAATGGAAATGACAACTCATTAGCGATGAGCACCCTAGCATACCCCAATTTCAATTTCAAACACCATTTTCCAATAGAAGGACCTAGGGTTCCTTGGAGATGCAGGTGGCCCAGGGTAGTGCAGGACGGTAAAAGAAAAGCTGAAATGTCTGTGGTACTAGCAAGGAAGGAAACATTCAAGGAAAGGATGAAAGCTTTTAGAAAGAACACAGCTGAAAACCGGACCATGCTGAGCAACAAAATACATGATTGTATTGGATTTTGACCCATAGAACAAAATAAATATCTATTAACCCATACCAATAAGCAAAAGAACTGGATATATAAGAAGATTCCACGTAATAAAGGCAGAAGGAGAAAGGAAAAGAAAAACGTCACGAGGCAAAACACTTGAGTAGTTGCTGCAGACAGTATCCACAAAGGGAGGCTGAAAGAGTTGGCAAGCTTGAAAAGAAGCAGAGTATTTGCGAGCTGGAAATATCTTCCCCAAGACACAGATGGTTCTCGAATAAGCTTCTTTCAATCAATGTTATTTCCCTCAATTGTTTGTAATTTCATTGTAAAGTTTATGAGGAGAAAACAACAAACAATCCTGGCCAAGAATGAACAAAATGTTATTCAAGCACCTGGCCTTCTTTATTATATAGTTTTTGCTTGAAGATGCAGTTTCCAAGAACCTACTACAGTGGTAAGTGAGGACTTGGCTACTGACTGCAACGGGAAAGATGGTCTCTGTAAGTCAGATCTGGCACTCTCACCAGGTGATACAGACTGACCTACACCAGCGTCTCCAGCTTCTCCCCTCAGTGCCCTACGGACATGTGTGTGTGATCCTGACAAACAGCATCAGTTCATCCTGTTCATGAGACAGCATCACACAAATGCAAATCAAGGGCCATCTATAAAAATAAATGCCCAGTACACATCAAAAATATCAAGTCATGATGTAAGACTGAGGAATTCTCAGTGTGGGGGAGGCTGCAGAGAAATAACATAAACAGAATACAGGACCTTGAGTATTAGAACCAAAAAAGAACACTGATGGGGAAACTGATGAGATTTTTTTAAGATTTATTTATGCATCTAAGAGCTGGCGTGTAAGCCCAAAGAAAGAATAGGGAGCAGAACAGGCAGATCTACAGAAACATACTGCTGAGGGGAACAGCGGGGAGGCATGAGAGTTCTGCACCATGTGGGTCACCTCCTTGGCCAGGGATCAAACTTGCACAGCAGTGGCTACACAGCTTCATAGTGCTGTGGCGTAACCTGCTGACACCTGGGAGGTCCAAACCTGATGAGATTTAAGTAAAATCTCTAGTCTAGCAACTAGTATTACAGCAGCATTAACATCTGCCTTTGCTGTACTAGGGGTAGTAAGGGAGGGGCATAAACGGGTTCTGTATTATTTCTGCAACTCTTGTGTTAATCTGAAATTATTTGAAGATTATAGTTTAAAAAAATGAGTGTAAGGAACAAGATGTTACAGAGAAGGTTGGGTTTTTCCTATAAAAACTGCAGTAAACTTGTGTGAACTTGTAGTAAACACATACACACACATTACCATTCACCCGAGTCCACACACAACGAGCAACTTCACACAGCTCAGATTCACCAAGGACATCACCAGAGGCCAGGAGCTGTGCTGGACTCCTTGCACACACACCCTGCTTAAGCCTCACAACAGATCCTGTGCACAGGGTAATCGCAAAACCAGCAATTTAGAGATGAGGAAATCAAGAGGGCAAAGAACTTGTCCAAGGGTAGAGACAGAAATCTAGAGCTGGGATTAAAGCTCGCAAACCAAAGCCCTGACACATGACCAGAAGCACACTCAGTCAATCTCTTTGGAGCAGGATGAAGGAAAAGAAAAACAGCCTGTCCATGAAGCCAGTCTCCTCAATACACTGTGATTCAAGTTTCTACCCCACTCCTGATGACTGCCATGCAGAAGTTTCTAGATACTGCAAGAGCAGGTCTCACGTTGACAAAGAGCGGTAGGATGTCATGGGAGGAGGTGGCTGAATTCCATCTCAGTTCTCTCCGCTCTGTAGTGGTCACCAGACCTGGTCTTCTCATTAGCAGGTGGGGTGAGGAGGACTCCACCACACACAGTGCAAATCGAAATCGTAGTGAAGAGTGTCTGTGTTGTCCTTTGTCTCAACAGAGTTCTAGCTAAAAAATGGCACAAAATTCTAGTGCATAGAATTTCAACACTGCTGGTGGATGCTTCAGTATGCTGTGTTTGTTCCAAGGAAAGATACTATCTAAATCTAGCAAGACCATTTGAGAAGAAAAACTTGCTCTGTATCTTTAGCATGACCTTCAGTTCCTCCGCCTTTCCAATTTTCCTAAACCATCACTCAAGAAGTCAGAAGCAGCGACCATCTCAGAGAAGGGGAAGTGACGGGTGAAGAAAAAGGGAATAACCCTTCCACAGGAGGAGTGGCAGATATCTGGGCCAGCAGTATACTCTGTCAACAATGCAGTCGTTCTCACCAGCATCACTAAGGAGTTTCACTGTGTAGTATTTATTCCTTTGTGCTTTTTGAAATCTGCACCACCTGAGTTGTGTTCCCTATTTAAAAAACACAATGTTTATAATAAAAGTAAGTTCCTGAAAATACTTAAATTCAAATGCAAATGGCCCTTGACCCAGCACCTCCATAACTGCCACTATTCCTCTTAGGGGTTCCTGGGCAGAGCTATGTATCTGCAAACAACTCGCTGAATCACCGTAATAATGCAAACCTGGAAATCAGCTAATGTCTATCTATGGGGACTTGGTAAAATGGGAAATCTGTACTGTAAAAAAGACACATGAAAAACAGACAGGCTGTGTTAATGAATGTATAGCTAGCAACCACTCAGATTTTTAAAAAGGGGTGGGAGGAATATATACTTACACACACACATTTCTCTGTAAATATAATAAAATCTCCACCAAGAAACTGACAACAGTGGCATCTGCCTAAAGCAAGTGAGTATGAGAAGAGAGGGCAGAGGGAGAAGTTAGCCATGCCTATCTTGCCTTCTGAATGCTAAACTACAGGATTCTACTAAACAGTATCAAAAAATTTACATAAGTCTTAAAAGAAAAAAGAAGAAAAAAAAAACCACCTACTTTCATTTCCTACCACCCTGCCCAGGCTCTCAGACCCTCTTCTCCTTCGGGCCATTCTCTCCCTGGATTCAGCTCCTAAGCAGGCCCTCTCTGGCCTAACAGCTGAGCCGTACTGGCGGAAACGACCAGATGGCTGTGCTGTACCATATGTAGACCCACTGTGTGCCGCCTATGCCTCTGGGAGAAGTCCACACCCACTACCGCCCTGCTGCCATCAGGCCTGGCCATGTCATTTGCTCGGACCCATGAGAGGTGCCACTACAGCGGAAAGTTTTCAGTGCCACCTGGGGGTCCTGCCATCTCTGCCACAAGGTCCACAAGTCCCAGGAAGGGCTGCACCATCAGCTTAGGTTTCAGAGATGACGTGGAGGAGCCCGCATCTTGGGTCATCTACTCAAGATGACCACAGAGTATGAGGAAGAAATAAGCTTTTGTGTATTTAAGCCACTGAGATTTTCTGGCTCTTTGTTATCCTAACATAGTCTATCCTAAACTGACCAAGTAGCTATATAACTAATTCCAAAACAAACTAAAATCATCTCAAGTGGCCTATCTTTTTCCTCTGCTCTATAGTCTGCCACCTCCCTACTGTCTATAGGGCCCCATCTCTAAAATGAGGATAATAATAGTCTGTACCTCACAGGGTCACTGGGGATTAAAAACATTAGCATGTGTAAAGTGACCACTTTATGGGCACTATTATGTAGCACTTACTATAATTATTACTTATTACAACTTTTGTTATTATAATTATTACTGTGAACTGACAACCTCTCAGTAGTTAACATGTGTCCCTTTGTAAGAAGCAGTAATTTGCTAGGCTCCTGAGACCATCTGCACTTCCTCCATCTTCTCCGCTGCCTACATTTCAGTTTCTCTACACCAATCTCCTCTACCTGCCCTTCCCCAGCTGCACATGAAATCATCGGGGGAACATCTAAGAGACACTGATGTCTGGGTCCCATTCTAAACCCATTACTCATTGTCGGGCCAGGGGTGCAGACAAGATACTGACAACTATATAGAGAGAGGTTAGCATGCCCACACGTCCGCACCGAGCAGTCAAATACATCATCAACATGTGCAAAACTGCAAAGAGTTTTTCATCACCAGCACAAGAATTCCAGTTTGTCAACCCCGGCTCTACAATAATGAGAATGAATAAATACAGCTATACTCAACTCACACATAGGTTGGGCAAAAGAGCTGTAGTATTTCTTTATAGAAGTCCAAAGTAGGCAGAACTCATCTATGGTGTTAGAAACCAGAATAAGACACACCCTCGTGTGTGTGTTTGCTGAGAGAACTGAAGTTAGAGACCAGAAGGGATACGAGAAGTTTTCTGGGGTTCTGGTAATGCTGATCTGAGCGCCAATAACACAGGTGGGTTCACTTGTAAAAATTACCAAATTGTGCACTATACTTTCCTATATGTATTTTAACTTCAGTAAAAATCTGCATTAAGAATGGAAGGAAAAACTTCCGAGGACTCACTCCTGGCCACTATTTTATCACCATTCACCCCCAAGTCAGGGCTCTGATCACACACTTGGAATGTACCCTTTCCTTTCCACTCTTGATGTCTGGCAGCCCTGGGCACTTGACCCCATATCTCTAACCACAACAGTCCTGGATTAGAACATCTTCACAACCAGCTCCCACTGATTGTTCAGGGTCTATTTCAAACATCACTGCTTCTTCAAGGACTTTCCTAATCCCTCTTTCCAACTCTATCCATGCCAGATAGGATTTTTCCTGGTAAGAGCGGTTTCTTAAATAGTGCTGCATAATTCTGCAATAGTAAATTTTTATGTACAAACGCAGTAATATTCATTTTATCACACCTCTCCAATGGTGATTATTTGAGGAAAAAACTATGCATTACACATCTCTGAATGAGTCCCCATTATTCTTGTCAGAGCATAATTATTCAATTACTGCTTTGGAATTACAATAAAACAAAAACAAACACTACTTCACTAATCAAAGAAACTACAATATAAGCACCAAAAGTTTAATAAAAAGATGTAGTAGGCTTGATATCACCTCTCTGAGAGATTTTAAAAATGCAAATGACACAGGACAATTCTCAAGTTACAAAACCCTCCCAATCAAGTCAAATGCAAAGACACACTGAAATGACATACTCACTTGTGGAATCTGTGTGCTTTTCCCACATCCTGTTTCTCCAACAATCACCACTGTCTGATAGTTTTCTATCAAGTATAATATATGATTCCTAAGCTGAAAAACATAACCACAAATTTTAAACAGCCATGCATGAGTCAAAATACCTAAACAGATAGCTAAATATTAGGAATGTCATATTTGCTAAAGAAAAGTAACTTTTTTAGTAGTTATTGAAATGCACATTTAACTTTCAGGTACTACTGGTATTAAAATAAGCTGATACAGTTACAATTGGGTATAGTAATTTAGCAAAATATATAATGCATATACCCTTTAATTAAAAATTGTACTTACAAGAAGTTACACTACAGATTGACTAATACATGTGAACAAAGACATATAGAATACACACACATACTCATTGCAGAATTATCTATAATTGCCAAAAATTCAAATAGCCGGAATGTTCATCAACAGGGAGTTCGTTAAATCTGCTATGAAACACTCCATGATAGAATAATGTGCAGCTGTTAAAATGGATTCAAGGTCGACGTGTATGGAAAGGGGATGATCTGTAAGATAAGAGAAGCCAGGCGCCACGCACTAGCATGTATGATGCTATGAATGGATAAATGCATTCACACTCATATATGTGTGTGTTATCTTTGGGAAAACCAAACCAAGAAACTGGTAATCGTGCCACCTTCAGGGAGCAGAAGAGGTGGGTGGGAAGCAGTGGTGTGGAGAACTGAAATTGGACATCATGTACTTGTAATTTTTTTTTTTTTAATTTATTAACTTCTAAGAAAGTCCCTCTACCTCTAAGTCCACAGGCGCAATAAAGATCCCTCGGGTCTATCTATATTTCAACTGAGCTGTCCTTCACCCATGCAGTGTGAGCAGACCCAAACACTGGTTTGGCCACTGAAAAGTCACATTTAGCTTCACAATGTCTTTCAGGGTACATATTTGATTACAGACACACCTGGAAAGTCATAAGATGTTCCACAACACCTGGTTAGGAATGAAATAAAACACTGTCAAACTCCCCCACTCTGATCACCACTCAAAGGACCTGATTCCACAACAAGGAGTGTTTGGTGAAGATCAGAAGAGCCGGGAGAGATGCTGCCAGTTCTTACTGGAAAATAAACTATTGGCTGTTTGGGGATTTGGCGTTTGGCTTTATTTGGAATCCAGATTTTTCGTTACCAAATCTTGTGTGAAATCTCTCAGGATATGTGTTAGAAATGAAGATCTCTCAGTCCATCCTCAGGATTTATGACTCAGTAGGGCCAGGGCAGAGCCCAAGACATAGTTTTCTTATAGAAATCTCCCAAAGGATATTCTGCTGCAGTGCTCTAGTGACTGTCATCTCGGAGCTTTTTGCCAGTTGCTGACCTTGTGCTTTCTAGTTTTAGATGAGAGGTGGAGAAATGTTTGGGTTCTGTGCCACTACTTTGTGAACAGCAGGTCCATACTGGGATAGGTGGGAGGATGGACGGATCATGAGGAAAACCTTGAAAGATTGTTTGAATACAAGCAGACAGAGATGGCATTTCAGGAAAGCGAAGTAACAAAAGCAAACTAAATTAAGATGGAAGATCACAAACCATAAATCCTCCTGGGTGAGTACTATCAAAGCCCACAACCATTCTTCCAGGTCTGCCTGGAAATGAGTAACAAGAGGTGTGGCTATGGCTTTGTTGTGAAAGGCCTTGAATGTAGACATAAAGGGTCTAGGCTTTAGCTGGAGGAAATGTGCTGTACTGAGAAAACTGAGCAACAGCAAAAAAGACTGGTTGAGCCTGGAGAAACAGAAGGCAGCAATTCAAATTATACATGAATCACGTGCTAAGTGCAAAGCATTGTGAGGAACATCCACTATGTGACATTCGAGAGAGATAACAGGATTTCCTGTGTGGACACTGGGAGAATGACAGTGAGACTGACAGGTGCAGGCAGAGAAACTAGGAAAAGCTGGTGAAGAGGCACTTCGAAAGGGTTAATTTAAGGGAATCAAAGTGTTCAGCTTATGGTAGACTGCCAAAAGCAGTGGAGAAAGCAGATCAGGTATCTTGCTAACTGCTCTCAGATGGCCCTCAGCACAATCCTCTGAGAGAGGTACTACTAGTCCCTTGTCACAGAAATGGAAACAAGAGTTCAGACAGTGAAGCAAGTGTGCAGTGCACAAATGATGAGATTCTCAAGTCCAGCTCCAGAGTCTAGACACTTTATCCCCATTCACACTAGCCCCCCAATGGTGAGGAAGCAACAGCGAACCTAGAATCTTCTCTCCTGAGAGTCAAACTAGTTAACATTCACACACAACAATAAGGTGAACTGCATGAAGAAGAAATCTAGAGACTCTCAGCACATGAGTGACTGAATGTTTAGTCATTCAGTCATTTTGTCACTAACTAAGGCAACTTGGCTAAAGAAGGCTGCTGCTTCATATCCACTTGGAAAAGAACATATTAATTAAAGAACTATTAGCAAGGCCTCAGGGGCTCCCTAAGTAAAAGAATTTTGCAGTTTTTACTCAGCACTGTCCAGGAAAGAGAGAGAGGGAAGCAGGGGACAGCGAGGTGACCCCAGCAGCATCCTGTGAGGTAAAAACAGTGCTCATCACCTTGTATGGGGAGCTGTATGTAATAAGCCTCTTTCAAGTAAATCAATGTCGACTTTGGCTCAGAGCCCACCTTCCTGTTACCATCTGGCCTCCTGTGTAGACTGGCCAACACAGGGAGTGTCCACGACTGTGTCCCTCCGTGCTGAGGGACAACGGCTCATCGTAAAGAAACCCGTTTTGGATCCCCGCTCATGCTCTGGTCTCTTGTGACATGAGGCTCCACTTCATGAACACTAATAAATCAAATGTCTGGATGTACGCATGGTATGTGATAACCACACCAAAATCCCTTCCCTCTCAGTGGGAATTACCAGTCCTAAATCGCAAGTCTAATAACCAACCTCCCAGTTCATCCTGCACCTGTACAGAAATGTTTTCTCAGATATTCTGATACAATTATGCAAAAGGTACAATTCAAAACCAAAGTCATACAACAAAGGCAAGGCACTGGGGCTGAAACTACTAAGCGCTACCTTACAAACATACAGAAATATGCCTTAACAACAAAGCTAAACTGACCATATATTTGTAATTTGCTGAAGCTGCATGCACAAAAGTTTACCCTGCTACTTTCTTTACAATTCTTTGTATTTGAAATTGCCCACAATTAAAGTGAGGGAAAAGAATGTTATTCCTGGGCCTCCCTGGAGGCACAGGGGTCAAAGACATAGCCTACCGAGCTTCTTGTACAGCACGAACTGGATCCCCAGCCGGCCAGGGAGCTGACCCCGGTGGCAGAGTGGACCTCTCCTATCTCACCCGCTGCTCAATCTGCCTGTTTTGCTCCCCACTCTGTCAGGTGAATCTTCTCACCCCTGCACGTCTGGTCTGCAGCCCAGTTCTTGTATGCACAAATAAATAAGTCTTAAAACAAAACAAAAAAAGAATGCCATTCCTTTTCTACCAGTTTTCAATATGTAAGACCTAACTGAAAAACATCCTGAGAACTTTCAAGATTTATAAGGTTAACTAACACACATATTTGGACAGTTAATCCCTTCCGGTTAGAGAACCCAGCCTCCCTGGGCTTGAGAGAATCACTAAGATTAAGATGACCCTTCTCCCTTCAGTGCCAAATACCCCACTGCCGACCCCCACATCAGACAAAAGATCGAGCACTCTTCCCCACGTACCCTGAATACCGGCAGCTTCTGCCTCTGTTGCTCTATAGAAAGGGCAGCGTACGGGTTAAACACGACGGTTGTGGCAGAATTTTCAGCTAGACTCTGTCTCTCTTCAGAGATGCTGACGCCTGGTCCCTCTGTACCTGCAGCAGAAATGTTTTTTCAGAACACTGAAAGAACACTGTTCAAATTCAAAAACCAAGATAAACAACAAAAGCAGTGCCTTTGAAACTACTAAGAGCTATTAAACTTTAGCTTTAGGAGGCTTATAGGAAAGTACTGGTCAGAAGACAAAAATCTTCCCTAAAATGTTCAGGGCAGTGTCAAGACAGTAGGCTGCACACTGGCCACGCAAGACTATGTCAGAGTTCCGGGTTCATGCTGGCACCCCTGTTCATTTGTAATCAAACAACAAAAGGAAGAAACCCAGTGGGAGGGAACTGAAACAAAAATGCCTTCTGTTACTGCAGGACACAGAATCTGTGATGCTAAGGAAAGTATAGCAATTTTGTGATCCGAATCACCCAGTGACTTATGTTTACATTTGGGGGAAGAGGGTTTGACCCAGACCCCTTCAATCATCTGAACAAGGATATGAACTCCCTGTCCTGAAAAACATATCACGACACAAAATGCTGCAGGCCCATAAGCCCCATGGAGATAAGTTCAGATCTCTTCTATAGATCTCTGATCTTTTCCATTTATTTCTAGGAATACTGTTGTGTTCCAGAGGTCCCTGACTGCCAAAAATCAGGTAAGTTAGGCACTACTGCATCGTTTTTGTTTTGTTTTGTTTTGTTTTTGCCAAAATGTTGACCTTGCTTTTAACATGATAAGAGAATAAGACCTGGAACAAAGCCTGTGCTTGAAGACTTCCTTCGCTTTTCTCCTCATTACTGCTGCATCTCAATAACTTGTGGTACCTTTATCCAAAACTACTGCAAGGACTACCTTATCCTCAATGGCTGTTTTTGACCCCAGTGTCCTTCTTTTCCAAACATCGTCTAAAGTCTAAACCTCTACAGTGTGGCCAGCCTATCTTATTGCTCCTGCAAGGTCTCTTCTTCCTCCCCCACCAGGCTTTAATCCATGCAGGTGTTTTCTTCATCACCCCACCCTTCTTTGTCTCTAACCTACAGCCAAGTCCACCCAAGTAAATTCTGTTATGAGATCTTTTACAAGAACAGCTGCTATCAGTCAATAAAGAAGATGTGTACTCCTTACAAAAGACTTCATTCAACCAAGCCAAGCTACTTCCCCCTCTCTACATCCCCATGACCCATTCTCGCTGCCTATGGTTGTTTTTCCCTTGGGAACATTCTGTATGCTTAAGGGAGTAACAAGTTTGTAATTCTTGCAAACCATAAATGCCTTCATTTCTCCATCTATAAAACTGCACATCCCCAGTCCAGCATTCCCCCTAAACCAGCTTTTCAAAATCCAATGGTGAACCACTAATTAGTTATGAAATTACAGGAGTGGGACATGACCAGCATTCTTTAATAATGAACTAGAAACAGAATGGAAAATATCAGGAGGCATACCGAAAATCAATATTGTTCTTATAAAACTTCTCTAGGGGTGTGTGTATGTGTGTGTATGTGCACATGCCGGATCACATATTTACCAGCCACAAGGTTAACAATCATTGAATATTTGTTGAGTGAATGAAAATGGCCAGGCCCTTCTGATCCACTTGTGGTAGCAAATTAATTCGAATTTTTCTACAAAACTTTCAGGCAGGTCACACAAGGCTCTTTAGGACAAAAATTACAAATCGGTAGCAACCACAAACTAGTGACTCAGGATCCCCAAACACACTATAGTCAAAGCTTTTGTAGTATAATGTAACATGTAAAAACTTATCATTCGAATGTGGATATGTTTCTTTAAAAAAAAAAAAAAAAAGTTGGCAACTCTGTGCCCATAGGACAAGAATATAGAACCAAACATAGTTTCCTGCTTTGGGATCTCAAATGCTAGCTCCAGTGTCTCTCTGCATTGCACATATCTATCAGTGTATGTCCACTCTAGTTTGCCACAGTCCCTATAGCTCCCTATTACTGCCACCAAGCAGCCAGACTGTCAGAAAGAACCCTCTAGCTACCTGAGTTTGTAACTTCCCACCTACAGGATATGCTCATGATTCCAGCATCTAGGCTTATATCCAATTTCAACCAACTCCCTGACCTTCACCATATATTCCCTACATTCTTTATATCTTTAATTTCACTTTTCTTCAGTGATAAAATGAGAATAATATCTCCATCACAGGGGTAATATGATTCTCTGTATTAGTAAGAAAGATAGCCATAAAAGTGGCTTGCACATGCAATCTTTTCTATATTTCTACATAACTATAGTCATTTGTAGGGCTGAACATATGTACTATATGTACTTCATTTAGTCCTCAAAAAATCCTTTGGACAGGTTTTATGCTCAATATACAGATAACTGAAATTCTGAGCATATAAGTGATTCTACCAACTCACAAAGTTAGTCAAAGGAAGTGAGGATGGGCTTCATGGTCTGACGCTAAAAAGCATCTTCCTTACCCTCACCCTCTTCTGACTGATTTTAAAATCTCCCCTAAAAGATATCTAACCTCACACTAGAGGAGAGAGAAAAGAAACACTGAATCTTGAGAGCAGGATCCGGGTCCCAGTCATCTGTATGCACCACTTGATGGCAGGATTAGCTGTTCAGTAAGTATACCCTCAATAAACCAACTAATAATGGACTAGAATGCTTAGAGTAATCCCATGTTCTATGGTATCCTGGTCTGATGTTCAACAATTCATTCAGCCCTTTATTATATTTAAAGCACTTTGATCTGTATTAAAGAACTTAATAAAATAGTTTCTCATTACCTAATGGAATCTTAACTTTGGCTGTATATAAAAATCAAGATGGGTAGGTAACTGGCTAATGACTGGAATGCTGAATCATAAAACTGTCATTATGATTTTTTTTTTCTTTAAGGAATGAACACATCCCTTGCTTGGGTTTACCTCTTACAAACTTGATCTGCAAGGTCAGAAGTACAGGGAGCCACTCTAAAAGCTTTCCTTATATTGCCTTTCCTGTCTCATTTCATTTTTGCTGCAATGTATTTGCAAATGCAGGCCTGCAGAGGTGCACGTGTAGGGAGAAAAAACAGCTGATAACTATTAAGGCACTTATTTTTCACAAGAAACTGCAGGAAGTCAAGGAATTACCCCCTCTAGCAGGATCTGGCACGTACACATTCAACATAAGCCTGATTGATGAGTAAATTAAAGGAATTACAAGCAAAGCATTTTGTGAGTTGCGATGCCATGTCTGTAAGAGGGGAAGTGGGTAGTAGCCAATATGAAGGATGATTCTCTCTGGCAGACACTCGGGATAGCAAGAATTACCCTAAAAGAAATTAAAACACCTTCCCATTTATGATCCCTTACTCTACGTCAAGCAAGGCGTGCTCATCATTCAAACTCACCGGGTAGACATTATTTTGCCTATATCACAGGTGAGGCGGCTCAGACTCAGAGAGGTTAAATGACTATTAGCTTATGGCAGAGCCAAAACTGGAACTCAGGCAGTGATTCCACAGCTCGAACTCCTAAACCGAGAACAGCCCCAACGTAACCCCAGGGTACTAACAGGGCACGCGTGGGCGCTTCAGCATTTCCCATGTCCCGGACTGGTAGGACAGCCATCTGGAGAGACGAAAACGAGGCCCCGGGAGGCTGAGAGAATCGAACAAGGTCACAAAGAGAGTTTCTGCCCAGGCTCGAGGCGGACCCCGAGTTCCTCGATACAACAGTGGGCGCCTGAGCGGCAGTCCACCAGCACCAACCAAGGCAATGGCGGCAAGCCCGCCGAGGTCAGGCTTGCGAGCAGGGCCGCGGGCCCCCGGGCGCCGGCCGCAGGGCTAAAACCAAAGTCAGGCTGCCGAATCTACCCAGCGTTCCGCCAAGGACCTTACCCGGTCGCCAGAATTTCACCGGTCCCACGGGCGCAGCCATGCTGGGGTGAAAGGTCACGAGGAAGACTCCACCCCTCGTCACGCGCGAGCCGCCGGCCGGGGGGCGTGGCCCGCGAGAGCATAGGCCTCTGCTGTTCCGGCTGTGTTACGGCCACGCCCCCTCGGACCACGTGTCTGGCGACTGCTCGCGGGCGTGCGTTGTGGTCCCGCCCCCGGGCCCGCGTTGTGGCCCCGCCCCCGGGCCCGCGTGACCCCAGCCTGCCATGTTGTCGGAAGGGTGCACACCTCTGTTAGAGGCATCTGCCTTGTCCACGATTCCAAGTGGCCTGGACTGGCTGCTGGCTCTCCGGAGGGCAAACGAGCAAACTTTGGAAAGGACTGCTTGCAGGAGCGTCTTGCCGCCACTGAGGCGATGCCTCCCGTAGTAACTGCTAAATGCTGATTATTTTCATTTTCAAATTAAAGGGTAATAAAAATAAGAACAGTCATTGCCTCAAGGACTTACTTGCTGGTCCACTAAATATTTACTGGGCGCCTCCTGTGCGACCAAATACTGCAGTTGGGAACTTCTATCCAAGGCTGGGGCCAGGGTGATTAGTAAATGCTGTGTAAGTAGTCGTGTCTGTTATCCGTAAATAAAGCCATGGGGAGTGATATAAAGTCTTTGGGGACTTCAGAGTAATGCTGAAAAAAAACCGGAGGGCGCTGGGGTTGGGGTGTGGAAAGGACTGGGTCTTACTTAGATTGGAATAAAACTAGAAATGGGTGGATCATTTGGATGAAGGTTCTAACTTAATTCCATAATAATTAAAATAGGGTTAAAGACATGATCATCCCTCCACCTTAAATTCTCCATCCTTCCTCCTTTGTAGATTTGGACCCTGTGTGTTCATTTTTGCGATAACACTTGAATTTAGTTGAACTATGGTTAGTCTGCCTCCACTATTACACTGGGAGCTACTTGAAGACAAGCATCGAATATCACAGCCATATTCCTAGCCCCGTAACAAAGTACATATTTTGTATATATGAAAACAATGCTCCATACTTAGTTCAATTCTTAAGGATATTGATCCATCCTTGTTTTATTTTTGTCTCAGCTTCACTAAAGGCTCACGTATAGGTAACAGGGTTTATATGTGATTACAGAGAAAATAAAATATATGCTATTTTTGATTATTTTATAAATTACTCATGCCTTATATGAAGTCTTCTTCTACTATGAGACAGATTGGTCATGCCCAAATTACTGAGTCATAATTTAAAACTGAAGGAGGCTTTAGTCATGATGGAGCCTAAGTTCTTGGTTTTATAGAAGGGAAACTGTGGTTCATAAAAATTACAAAGACTTGATCAGGATCAGTGAGCTAATTCCCAATCAGAACTGGAACTAGAACTCAATATTCAGGTCAATGTTTTTTTCAAGACATGAGCCATTTAAAGCCATCTGTCCCAGAAAGTTCTCCAATTCAAGTGTCCCTAAGAGGTTGCTTTGCTTATACAGATATCTAGCAGAAAATGCACCTAAATAGTAATTTAGATGTTGATGTTTTTATTGTCACAAACTAGTCATATTCTCAATAGACTATCTTATTCTTCCTAATTATTTTCAGAAAGAATGGCCTAAAATAGCTACTCTAAAATTAAAACCACTGTTTCTTGAGATGGCATCCAGAATTTTAGTTCACTGCCAACAATTCCATGAGTTTGATCACCATCATATATGGGTGCATCTCTCAACTCCCAAATTGTTTTTCCAGAAAAATAACATTCCTTGACACCATATTTCATGGATGCATAGTAGATGTTTTCCTGAGATTATAGGGGGTTATATTGGTACTTCTGGCTTGAATATTTCCAGTCTAAATATCTGGTTCTGGGCCATGTTTAGGAGGCACGGGAATTAGGGGTTTTCATCTCTGTATCAGTTCAAGTTTTATATCACCATAGAAAATGTAATTCATTCTCATGTAAGTGGAAGTTGCTCTTCGAAGCTAAAAAGTTTGAGAAGTTGTGACTCAGGACAGAATGGCAAAACATGTGACAAATGGGGTTCATTTCCAATCATTTTGTCCTGCCTTCTGCTGATCTGGGTGTTGTTTCATGGCACCTAGATGGCTAGGTCAACTCAGCAACCCCATTCTCTTAAACACAAACACCAAGTCCCTTTACAAAATTTCTGGAACCAAAGTTTCTTTGACTGGTCATGTAGTCATCCCTGAAATCATCACTTGAGCCAGCAAAAACCATGTCTTGACTGATCTAAACCTAGGTCACCCACTGCAAACCGTCAGGGATGGTCAGTGTCACCAGAGCCATGTGGCCAGAGAAAGGAGTTTAAAAGTTCTCAGAACTGCTGTCCTTAGAAGAATATCTAAGGATGAGATTAATGAACAAATATAACTGGCCATTATATTACTTTATGTGGTAGAACTATATACATACAGTTAAGAAAAATCCTCTATCAAGCCAGATCAGAGAAAATTATCCCCCGTTTTGAAAAGTAAGTGGTGGCCCTTTGCAGAATTGCTTTTACTAAACTGTACTTATACTGAGATTTTAATTTTAGGCTGACTCTAAAGCACAGTCCTCTGTAACTTGTTACATATGTAAACCTGCATGATTTCTTGGCTTGCATACAAATGATTAAGTTCACACATGTATTAGCATAAGCTAAAGTGTTTACTTAGCTCCAAGGATTTGGGTACAGAGGTGTGGAAAGATGCACTAGGAAGGAAACCTAACTATCAGAAGAGTCTAGCATTTTGGCCTGTGCATGCATGCCTGTGAAGTTGGAAGTGGGAAACTTCTTTAGGTCTGTCAGGTGCTTTATTGTTCAAACAGGAACACTTCTGAGAACGGAGTGTTCACAGTTATAAAATGTCATTTGAAAAACAATGAAATAACTTTGAGGTTTCTGGTGCAACATCTGTATATGCATGACATTAGCTTTCCAAAGTCCTGTCCTTCATCAGGCAACTGAATTTTACTTGACGAACCCATTCTCCTTCCACAGTATCATTTTTATAAGAAGATCCTCGTGAGAAATTCTTAGTACCGAGAACTGTCCTTCCTATACTTGGATTATCTTAATTTATGGACACTGTGAAAGATGTTCTGACCAGTTTGCTCTGTCTTGGGTACTGAGCATCTTAGTCAAATATAAGACTTACCCAAAAAATATGTTTATCATTGCGGTTAGCACATGTAGCCTCAGGCAAGGCAGGAGAGGTCTGCTGGCACAAAGTGGATTAGCTCCCTGGCTGGTTGTTGAACTCATGCCAGTGGCTGGCGATAGCTGGATAGCACTAAAACTTTAATTCCTTGCACCACCAGGGAGGCCTTCAAGATCAGACCATTGTCTTAGGATTACCTTTTCCTCTTGTTCTTATTTCTAATCCTTGGTAATGCTTTCAGAGAATGGTTGAGTCCTGCTCCAAAAAAAGGATTCTGTGGCCAGGTAAGTCTGTAATAGGCACTGCTCTGAGAAAGTCACCCTGATCATTACCTCATTTGAAAATCTGAGTAATACAGCAATAAAAGTCCTCTTCAAATTTATTTCATTCATCATTTCTGTAACGGAACATAGCCTTTCTATGAATGTGTACTAGTAAGCATTGATCTATAGACCTGAACTGAAATGTCAAGTATGCCTAGACTTTCCACAAGGTTTTTATGTTTCAATTCACTATTGCATTAATTGCCATTTCTCAAGAGATAGCCTCTAATGTCTCCAGTTATCCTTGGGGAGAAACAGATATTCCATAGTGCTGAAAGTTGGAATTTCAAAATTCATATTTAAATGCTTGTGTCACCCTTTACCAGGCATGTGACCTTGAATATGCCACTTAACCTGAACTCAGTTTCTCCAGCTGTGGGACCACTACATGGTCATAATGGTCCAAGGTAGTACACAGGGAATTACCTAAATCTGTGAACAATTTCAATTAACTGTGTTTATTCCAGGCTGGCTCTGGACGTGAATCCACTGCCTGTGTGCTGCACAGCCCAGACTGCAATGCTCCCCAGCAGCTCCCTGATGACCAGGGGAGCCCAGGTGTACTCAGGCGAGGGCGTGATCTGGACACCTCAGCACAGGTGGATGTGGCAGACAACACCCTCCCCATTATAGATCTTCACACTGGTCAAATCAGGAGGAGGCAGAGGCCCTCATTTAACTCTTCCCTTTGTCCACACAAAAGAGATTAGACAAAAACAGGATTCCACAACCATACCAATCCTGATTAGCAGGATGTAGAAACCAGTTGCATTGCCTGCCACTTGACTAGGAATCTGGGATAATAATCAGTGTCCTCTTTTGCCCCTACTCCAAGATATTAGGTTGCTAAATCATTGTCAGTACACCCATCTGATGCAATTAGGCCCATAGGGACTGTGGGGTTCATATCTGTGATGAATCCAGGAAAGTACATGCAGGCCCTTTTTGGCAGAGGAAGAGAGAATCAAAATCCTTGTCTAAGGAGCTTAAGCTGCTTCTTTGAAAAGACAAGCTAGAGCGCATGAGAAGACCTGCCGTTTCTGACACGTTTCCTCATTCAAACTACAGGCAGTTAACATCAAACTTCCAGTGGCTAAGGAAGGTATGATTCGGACACTTGTTTTATGTTTTCTATCTTTTAAGTGGATATTTTCTCTTTTACAAGTTGGGTTATTCACTTCTTCACCCCAACACCATTTTAAAAAACAAACAAATGCATAAGCATCTATTAGGAGCATGTATTCTGTGAAAATCCTAGAATTAAAGATAAAAGCTCTACTGAGGAAAAATGAAGCACTTTGGCAACCACCAAATGAAAGTCGTTTAGATTTATTCAGTGCTACAGAAGAGAATGACAAAAGGTATTTTCTAAACACGACCTCTTAGGAGAAGAACTGGCTTACAACACCACGCAGGCCTCAGGCATACAGCTTTCTTCTTTGACATCTGTATAAATGGCATCACAACCCCAACAAAAGTCTAGTTTCCATCACCAGACAGTTGGCCCCCTGCTCCCATTTCACCCACTGACTTCCCTTCTGGACACCAAGACTCGTTGTCAGAATCTAAGTTTGTTTTGTTTGTTCATTTGCTCGTTTCTTTATCTCTAGACAGGATTTTGATCACAAAAATACTAGTGATTCAGACCTCTAAAACAGAAGAGTACACAAATTGAGAAAAATGCAAAACATTTTATCTCTTACCTGAATTACTCTGAACACCTAACCATTCTCTTTTAGAATGGTTCTTTAAGAACTATTACAACTGTGCTAAGAAACTATCCATAGTGTTTAAAACATGACACCAATACCTGGTTTACACATGACAAAAATAAAACAAAAACATGCAAAATAATGTGCAGATTACAGAGTTCAAAGAGAATCAAAGTGATTAAATGTTGGTGAAAGAAAGGCCCCTGGGCATGAGACCGGCTACCGGGCAGACGGCCTGGCAGTATCCGCAGCAGCCTGGATGGAACCAGGCGCAGCGGGCGGGCAGTCACTGGTAGGAGGGATACAGTGGGATATCTCTGATAGTCAGCAGGTTAGCTGCTGCTCTGGAAACGTTTCCAGAATTGAAACTAAGGTAGTTTTCAGTAAGGAAAGTCCTCCTGGACAGCATGGACAGCATGTGGTTGAGCCGGGATCTGATGCCAACCAAGTGAAACTGCCGCTCTTTATTCAGGTTTCTGAATGAGTCTCTCAAGCACAGATCCAGGTGGGGGGTGCTCCAGTACTTGGGGTGCCCAGGAGTGATGAAGTCAGTGGTTCTGAGGGAGGTCTGGGAGCTGATGGAGCTTGCCACAGAGCCTTGGGAAGACAGAGAGGAGGAAGACCTCAAGCTGGAAGACCTCGACACAGACATCCTTGACACTGGGGACCCTTCTTTGGACTGGGTTTCCTGAGAAGAGAGAACGTTTTCGTCCACATCGGTCTGGGTGGTGGCTGGCATGGACCGAACCACAGTCTGGGAGCTCGCCACCCTGGTGGCGACTGCGGTCTGGGTCCCAGCGCACTCAGTGGTGGTGCTGGTTTGTGTCCCAGCGTCGCTCAGGCTCACCACCGGCGCCTCCTCTCCAGGCTCTGTTTGGGTGGCGGCGTCGATCACCTTCCCGCCCGCTGCTTCTTCCTTGTGGCTGTTGATAAAGTCTTCCTCACTGGTGACGGAGGACCGGGAGTCGTGGTGCCACGCACCCGCCCTGCCCTCAGCACGTGCCTGGCACTCCAGATCCGCCTTCCTGGGAGTGCTGGAGAGCCTGGCCAGCCGCAGCCGCAGCAGGCTGCCCAACGTGAGCTCCTTGGACAGCGGTTTCCAGTCAACCAGATGGTCAAACTTGCCGCTGATCCTGAAGTTGGAAAGGAGTTTGGAGCTAATGGGCTTGGACTGCGCGTACAGGATGCGGAACTCCAGGTCAAAGTGTTCAACCACTTGGCCCGACAGGATGACCAAGTTACTGCTGTTCAGTTTGCCATCTGTCCACATGAAGCTTAAGGAATAAAAACAAACAGAAGCTGGTGACAATATACCTACTCCTTAGTGTGCATTCAACTAATCTTTTTAAAGATTTATTTTACTTATGCATACAAGAATCTGATGTAGCCAGAGGTACAGGGGGATGAGAGGATTCACCAGAGACAGTGGGGGGCAGAACAACAGATCAATGAAGTGCACTGCTGAGGGGAGCAGCGGGCGAGACAGGAGAGGTTGCTGCACCATGTGGGTAGCTCCTGGCTGGGGATTGAACTCAGCTGTGGTAGCTGGTGATAGCCTGATAGTGCAGAGACTTAAACCCTGTGCCACCCCTGTGCCCTGAATTCAATTACTCTTAATGCTGCATGTAACATGAATATGTCAACAGAAAGGTAAAAATGTTGCTTAACCAGCATACGAAAACATAATCTCAGCCTCAGGGTTTTTAAAAATTAGAAAAGGCTTTTAAAATATCTAGGCCAGCGAGGAAAAGAGCCAGCAGTATCACAGCGGGAAGCCAGCTAGAGGCATCTGCCCTAGGTGAGACCAGTCGCTCAGAACTGCCGGGCCCCAGCAGCGCTGCTGTGCTCACAAAGGAGCCCACACAGCCCCTCTAAGGACGTGCTGGGAGCTGCTGCCCAAGCATCTCTAGAGCTCGCTAGAGAGTGGCCTGAGCTGCTGGGCCCACCCCCTCCTCTGGTAACACACCCCACTCATCCAGTCCCGTTTTCCCTTTATGAGCCTTCTCTAGTCACAACAGAGGTGGACAGCAGCCCAGCCTGGCCAGAGCATCCTATCCTCTTGGATGTGCGCATCCTCCCAGAGTGGGCATGTGACCCACCAAGGCCAGATACTTCTCCAAGCCCTGATGCCTGCGCCACAGCAGCTTGTTCGGTGAGAGAGCCGCCGAAGGCCGTCTAAGTCCGGATCTTTGCCCTTGAATAGTGCGGACTGAATACAGATGGAGCAGAGAAGCAGAAGCCGGAGAAGCTGCTCTAGTCCGTGTCCAGCCTCTAGAAACCAACTGCACCTTTCGGCACTGCCAAGTTACGAGTCACCAGAATCCATTCCTCATAAAGTAGGCTGATTTAGCCTTCTGTATTTGGCAACAAATCACCCCAGTGATAAATTTGTATCAAGAGTAGGATATTTCAACTCAGAGATCAATAAACTGTCACTTGTATCCAGAATCCCAGCTCAAGTGAATTCAACCCTCAGAACTAACTTCAAAGCCTGAGAAGGAAGATTCTGGTGGAAAGCCTCACCGAGGTCATGTAAACAGGACACCCATCAATGTCAGGATCACTACATGCCCTCAACAGATGGAAACCCTCATCTTCAGCACCATCCTCCTCCTCTACAGCAGCAAGTTTCACAGGTAAAGGGTGGCTTTTGTACTTTATATTTAAAACAGTCAAAAAATCATTTGGAGCTAAGTTGCGTTAATATCGATAATACCAACATTGGGTCTAGTTTTTGTTTCTTACCAACTTTTTATGAAAGAAAGACTGCTAAGTTTGTTCTAAGCCATCTGTTCAGAAGAAAGGCATCAGTTCTGGTGTGACCTTCTCATTTTCCATAGACCCTGCATGTCTACCTTTATTCAGGGCTGATGTATAATTAGTACTCAGGGATGCGTTTCTTCAAAAATGAATTTTTCTTTTTTTAAACTCCACAGACACACCTCCTGATACCATCTGACAATCTAGTGCCGAGGTGGCAGACACACTGCCAGAGGAGTGACAAAAGCAAAAATGACATTTTAACTTCCAGAGATTAGTGTTAACTTCTCATTATCTCCACCCTCTATTCAGCTTCCCTGTTCTGTACCTTAAGATGCCTTTGCCAAAATAAGACTTCAAAGGTGGAGCCAGAAACATTCATCAGTATTTTCTAGACCAAAGTATTAAATTACAAGGCTGGAGAAGGTGGAGGATCTAAGTGGAAGGTCCTAGCCTCATCTCTGCACTCCACGCTGAGGTCAAGGCCTGTAACCGCTCTTTACCTTCAAGTGAGGATCTTAAAGGACAAAGGGGGGGAGGGAGTCAAAGCCCCCAGAAACAGGATTTCTGTCACCCCTAATTCATCCACTGCAGGCCTGGCAAGGCTTTACTCTAGGACTTACTCCCTACTGGTCTTCAGGCAAGTTTTAACCTGTGCACTTTAGTTTTGTGGGCTACAAGGCAGTAGAGGTGACCCCCACCCAACCCACAAGGCTGAAACGTAACTGTCACACAATGATGTCCGACAGAAGCAGGCTCTGTTAACCTACTCAAACACAGATGCATAGAGACTAGCACACCTGGCCATAAAGGCTTGTAGAGAGAGGGAAAAGACGCTTTTACTTTTATATAACACTTTTTAAAAATGCCAATTCATAGGCAAAGCTAGAAACATACCTGTAGGAGCCTGTAGCTACTCGAATGCCATCAATCAGGGTGAACTTTTCATGAACTTTTCCAACAATTTTAGTTCCTGACCTTGCGTAGTAGATATTTCCTGTAATAGTTCGAACCGTCATCAACTGTTGACAGGAGAAAAAGAAATGGATAATTCAGCAAGCAAATGATAAAGAGGGCTTGGTTTACAGTTCCCAGCTAGACAACTTTCTGGTCAACAGTGGCTCGCGGTCACCACCCAGTAGACGCAGGTGGTGACAGACGGCAGGCAGGGATTCCCAGGACTCACGTAGCTCCACATCGGACCGTCTCTCATGTGCCCTTTCCTCATATTGATTTTGTTGACCCTTATCATGTATATATGTGCTGTAAAAGAAGACTCACCTTGGGGGATGCTAAACCACAAAATCTGAGAAACAATTTGAAACAAAACGCAGGGAATAAAATAATCAAATCAAGCATGCTAATAATAAGTAACATTTTAACATTTGAAGAAGCTAAACTGATATTTCTCCTGCCTGGTAATAGCTTCACCAGTGCCCAACAGCTCATTTCACTTACTGACCGTGATGGGCACAGAGAATGGGAACAGGACAAGCCCTGCCAAGACAGGGCTACGAAGGCAGAAACATTCACACACTGTGTGTTTTAACCAGCAATATCGCATCTCCTACAAGTATGTATTTACAAAAAATGGTGCAGTGGTAATATACTGAGGCTATATAGTACATAGCTATGCATAATTATCCTTGTAAAATGACACATGTAAATGTGTATATATTTGGTATGCAAAATACTAAGACAATCTGCATTCTTTGGAGCAGATCAGTAGCTAAGTATCTATAAATACCTTACTCACTCAAATTAAATATTTAAGATTTTTGTTCAGTTCTCTCATTCCACAAACAAAGAAAGCCCCTACTATGTTCCAAGTCATGTGTCTATATAGACAATAGAGGTAGAAGGCACATGTCTGGTTTGCCTGTACTAGGAGAAAGAGAAAAGTCACCAATGACTAAAAATCTACAGCAAGACACATTCAAAGAAGTGAGAACCTACACAGAAACATGCACATGAATATTCATAACAACTTTATTCATAAACTAAAAAGAACTAACTACTGATCCACACAAACAACAAGACACAACAAATAGATACAGAAATAGTTGCACATGGATCAAGGGATCATGTTAAGTGAAAAAAGCCAGTCTCACAGGCCACATACTAGATGACTCCTCAGTGACAACAGTATAGCGGTGGGGAGCAAATCAGTGGCTGTCAGGGGAGGGCTGTGGAGGGTGGGGAGGGCCCTAGAGGAGAGCAGACATGGAGCAGGAGGAGAGCTTTATCTGGAGATGCATGCACAAGTTCACACGTGTTCAGATGGCAGAGAACTGTGGTCACATGTTGTACCAGCGTGGATTTCCAGATGTTGACGTGAAGATGCAAGATGAAGATCACTGGAGGGAAACAAGGTGAAAGCTGCCTGGAAACCTTGGTACTATCCTTGCAGCTTCTGTGGGTCTATCATTATTTCAGAATAAAAACAACAGACCAATACAAAAAACGATGGCAAAACAACATCACTGCTGTGATATTCTTCCCAAGATACATACTCTGAATTTAAACATAGGGAAAACATCAGACAACCCAAATTCTACAGAAAACTGTCTAATCTTCAAAAGCATCAATAATTTAAAAGACAAAGACAGTCAGAGCAATCCAGAAAAGAGACAAGACAACTCAGCAAAGTGTGCTCCTGGATTGAACCTGGAATGTGGAAAGGGGCATTTGTGGTGTGATTGGTGAAGCCTGTGAGGCCTGTAGGTAGATGACAGTATTGTATCAAGTTATTTCTTGATTTTGAAAATTGTACCGAATTTTCACACATGTTAATACTTAGAGCTTATACAAGAAATATTCAGGAATTCCTTATATTGTTTTTGAAATGTATCTGTACATTTTAAATTATTTCAACATGAAAATTAATGAAAAAAACAGGCGAGGCACTTCTGGAGGTACACATGGGCCTGCTGGGGAAGGCGTCTGGAAGAAGTGGCGATTCCTTTCTCAGCCAAGTTTCAAAGGATCAGCAGATAATAACAAGCATAAAAAACAGCACTTCAGGCAGATTTAGACATGATTTTGTGCATCTTTCCCTTTGGCACTGATCTGAATATCGGACACACCTCTGTGGCTGTGGCCAAAGCACTCTGAGGCCTGCGTACAAATGTGTGAGCAAGATCCTCAAGCAGCCATGGAGCAGGCACATGGGGAGGGGAGGCAGCCCTTCTAGGGAGAGCCTGGGGCCACAGCACAGACATGCCTTGAGTAGAGGAGCCAGAAAGGGGATTGTGCGTCCCCAGGAAGACATTATGACAGTATGAAATAGGCGAGGCCAGAGTTACAGGCCCCTGTCAAGCCCTCCAGAAAGATTTGGGTGCCAGTCAGTGAAGGTAGAAATCAAGTGTGGTTCGCTGAGTCAGTAAATATCCCCATGTTTCTACGGATAGATGGGTCAGAGGCAATCATTGATCAAAGTTTCTGCTAGAACCATGACTTTCATGCTCCTAGCATACAGCCTTGACTACAAAAAGAGTACTTTGAAATTAAACTCTCACACTGACTTCCTCACCTGATGTGACAAGAGCAGCCGTAGATGACCATCTGGCTAGCCAATGACATGCTTTCCACGTCTGACTTTCGTTTTCCTCCCATCCCCTGAACGCTTTTTTTTAAGATTTATTTATTTATGCATACAGAACTGGGGTACAGACCAGAGGTACAGGTGTGGTGAGAGAATCCATCAGAGACAGAGTGGGGAGCAGAGCAGGCAGAATGACGAAGTGCACTGTTGAGTGGAGCAGCAGACAGGTCAGGAGAGGTCAGCCATGCCATGTGGGTCACCTCCAGAGCCGAGGATGGAACACTGAAGCTGAGGCTAGCTTGCAGAGCTGCGCCTTAACCTGTTGCACCACCAGGGAGGGCCTGAACTCATTTTTAATTGGCTGATGGGTCACATGGTCACTCGTTCCCTTCTCTCTGCCAGCGTCAATCCTACCTCCATCATGAGTTTGCCTGGAGCACAGTGACAAGGTAGAAATACCCAATAAAGCCCAATCCTCACTTTCCTCAAGGGAAAACAAAAAGCAGGGATCTGGGCGAAGGTAAGTCACCACAACTTTGTAAACCTAATTGTTGGATAATAACAAAAAGGTTAAGCTTCTGTCTCCTGTGTAATAACCTAGGGGACCAAAGACCAAATTCTCTGTACCTTATGTTCACTGCTTTATTTCCAGTACCTGGAACAGCATGTGGCTCACAGGTGGTGATGAACAAGTTCATGAATTAAGTTTTGAAGTATAGGTTAAGTAGCTTTTAAAAATAGAGTATCATAAACATGAATATTTCTCTTGCCTCTTTGCACCAAAAAAGAAGCAACCTAATTGTATAACCTTACATTTAAAGATTTAAGCTCAAATTACTTTCATGCTGGGAGCAAAGGACGTAAAGTCAAATTTTACAATAATGAGAAATGAGAGGCAGCACATGACAGCGGGGCCTGGGGCGAGGCGGCGGCCAGTGCCCATCCTCCTCCTTGCTGCCTGTGGATGCAGGGCACTGTCACGACTGCCAGATCTAAACAAAGGTAAAACACCACGCACCGGATGGGCTGTCATGAGAATCGAGCTGCGATACGCCCGCCTGGAGAGTACTCACTGCTGCCAGATGGGGACACTACCTTGGACCCAGCTCATAACATCTGTAGGAGGCCACAATAGAAACAGCGTAACACAAACCTTCTCCTGTTCAGGGTTCACTTTCAGATCCATGCACATATCCAAAAACTGAGAGAGCAGGGCCTGGTCCAGCAGGATGTATACAGCAACTCCTTGTTTCCGACTTATTTCCTGCAGGTCTCGGAAGATATCGATGTCTGTGAAAACATCCATCACCACGGCGATCACCTACAGGTGAGCAGAGAAAAGAACCAGTCCACTGACGAGAACAGCACCGGAGAGCCGAGCCCTGCCACAGAGCTGGAGAAGAAGCCCCAGCCTGTGACAGGTTCCCTTCCTTCTCCTTCCAAAGTATCGGCTTTCCCCTCTCCACCGACTCCTCCCTCTCCAAAAAAGCTCAGGCCACTGCATCCTGCAAATCCTGAGTAGGCCCAGCTAACCCTCCCGACTGCCTGCCAGCCACTCTCCTTCACAGTGACCAAGTTCTCTGAACTGCAGATGGGGACACTGTCCTGTCCTGTCCTCCCAGGAGCTGTCCTGTCTACTTTTCCCCTTCTACTGAAGCTGCATCTTACAGACTCCCTCTGACCAGCAAGCTGTCTCATTCTGGAGCTAATACGCTACGCCCGAGGCATGCTGCACCCACAGCCTTCGGTTTTCTGTAACTGTAAAATAAGGAAATCAAACCTGAGATTCTCTCTAAGCTTCCTTCTGGGTATAGCACTCTCCAAGTCTATGGTTTTGATTACTGTCTGACTCATATCACAACCTGATGTTGTGTTATGTTCGGTAGAGACCCACCGCCAACTCCCAGCTTGAAACCACGCAGCCACGCGAGCAGATTCCCCCTCCGTCTGCCTGCACCACATCTGCGTGACGCTGGACTCCTGCCATTAGTCCAGATCGAACCAAACAGCTTCCCTGACACCAGCTTCTCCTCTCCACAGCTTTGTGTGTGCCCACCTGCAAACCTGCGACGGGAGCACAGAGATACACACTAAGGACTCCGCCCCACAGTTCCAACCATCCCTTTGTTCCCGACACCAAGGCGCCACTGCACCTGCCGATCCATCTTCCACACTCAGCACTAGACTACAGCTAAGAGCTGCCACTGCCACACATCCTTGGGCAAAGTACAGTTGTTCAGAATGTCCATTTCCTGAGCTGCAAAATAGGTTTGTAGTGAGAACTAAATGCCCAAGCTACAGCTACTACAGGCGCAAAGCCTTTCAAAAGTATCTGTGCGTTGATTCAGCCCTGGGTTCAAGCTGTCCCGACAGTTTAACACAGGGAGACACTGTCAGTCCCCGCCGCAGACACGCTCTCCGTGGCCCTCTACCAACTGGGCAGGCTGCAGAGGTGCCAGAACATCCATGCTTAGAAACAAGCTCCTGCAACCAAGTCAGCACGAGGAGGCAGCGGGGTAGCCAAGGAAAGTGCTCCCCAGAGTCAGGCTTTGGGGCGCTTTTGCAATCAGGAGCTGGAAGCATTGTTCCCTTCTCCTGCCTAGCTTCACAGTGAAAACTCTTATTTCTCTTTTTCTGAAGGTGAAGGTACTTTGTTTATGGCAAAGGCCTCCAATCAGGACTGGCTCATCTCTGTGGCCCCAGAGGACTCAGGATAATACCTGAGGTACTGTCACTTTTTCACACACACCTCCCACCTGGTATATCAGCTATTTTGAAATTTAAAAAAGAGGTACAGAGACAAAGGGGCAATTTTGCTGCCTTCCTCCAATACCCCAAGTCTTGCCTACCAGGATGAGGACCTTGAGACACCAGCTCCCAAGAAGCCTTTGCTGAGAGAGAGTCTGGGAAAACCTTCTCTGGCTGCCTCTCCCCTCGCCACTGTTGATGGAGCCCCAGCTATGAATGACTCCTGGTAAAGAGCACTGTTATAACCCACAGAACACAGCAATTTAAAAAAGAACAAGTATTGGCCCTCCCTGGTGGAACAAGTTAGGTCTCAGCACTGCAAGCTGGCCGCAGCTGCTTCAGTGCGAGTTTGATCCCCGACCCCAGAGGTGACCCGCATGGCACAGCAGACCTCTTCTGTCTCGCCTGATACTCCCCTCAACAGTGTATTTTGTTGATCCCCACCAGAGGGCTCCCCATTCTGTCTCTGGTGAAGTCTCTCACTGTCCCTGCACCTCTGGCTCGTACCACAGTTCTGTATGAATTAATAAATCTTTAAAAAAAAAAAGAATATTAAAAAAAAAGAACAAGTATTGGTTTTGAATTGATGGCATCTTCAGAAGTTTGTATCTGATGTGTTTTTACATGCCCTACTTTAAGTTGTTTCAATACCATTAATTCAGGTGGCTAAATGGGCATGATAGTTAAAAGGCAGAAGGCCCCAACACAAGAGTTTAGCACTACAGCTTACGAGCTAAGTGACCCTGGGCAAAGAGCTTAACTTCTCTGAGTGTTTCTTCCTTTGAACATATGAATAACAGCATGTGTCAAAAGGCTGCTGTGAGGATTAAATGAGACAAAGCATGGAAAGGGCTTAGCTCGAGCATGTAGGAGTGAGTGCAATTATGCAGCCAGCACCTCCTCAGAGTCAACTGTGAGCTGATCTCTGTAAGGCAGAAAGAGGGCTCTAAAGAACTTGACATAGAACCAACTGACCCACAATGACAGACAGTGAACAAGAGGCGATTAAACTGGGGGGTGAGGGGGAAAGGAGTGGGGTTTCAAGAAAGCACAAGAGGCTCTCAAATGTTTATCAAAGAGGAGGGGAAGGACTGGGGTGGAGGAGCTGGACTTGAATCACAAATAAGGATGAGATTTGGACAGAGAGAAGTAAAGGGGAGGGCATGCTGATAGGAAGCCACATAATGACAGTCTGGAGGTCGGAAATGATAGGGGACAGACTAGTTTGGCTGGAACGTGAGTATGTGTGAAAAGGAACGGCAGGACGCGACTGGGAGACAGACAAATGAATGAGCAAGGTCATCAGAGGCCTCGAATGCCAACCACGGGCCCGGTATTACACAGGGTCAGGGGAGTAATGACAACCTCGACAGGACAGAGGAAAATAGTGCTGGCGGGGCAGGAGTGGTTGGCGATCTGGCTCCACCTCCAACACTGGGCTGCATCACACAGGCAATCAGATATCTTTTTAGGTTCAGTGAACATTTAGAACTAAAGACCAAAAGAAGAAAAAGCAGTGACAGAGGTTTCCATGGTGGCCAGGCAGAAAGCCACAAGGGTGCTGAGGTGGGAAAGGGGCTTGTGGGAGAGCTAAGCGACGGAACAGCCGCCACTGTTAAAGTCCCTGTCATCATCACCAATCTCTGAGCCTTCCCCCCAGCCACTCCATCATCCCGTGATCTGGTATCTGCAGGTCCTCAGGTATGGTCTTAGGGAAGGGCACAAATCCTGCTCACGTGACTTGTCATATCGAATTAGAATCATTTCCATTCTATCTACTGATTTCAAGGCATACTAATTGCTATCTGTGATTTACATATTAGAAGCCTAAAGTTTGGTGACGTTACGGAACTCGTTTTTTTCTCTTTAAAATCAGTGTATTAGAAAAGCTAAAGGAATTCACAATTTATTTATCTCAGCGATTCCACGGCTATAAATTAGGTCAATAAAATGGGATCCTAAAGACGAATCTGGGTGATGTCACCAATTAGTAGATGCAGAAGACAAAAGGGTGGGATTTGAAACAGAAAATTGACAACTTTTCTAGTTCCACATTTGTCTAAGATACTTAGAGCTTCTTGACTACCTTCTCTGATCAATTAGAACCACTTAAAAGTTATATAGTTAGTGATAAATAATTTACCATAATATTTTGAAACCTGAGCTCAAAACATAATCTGTAGTGCTTTGAAAGCTGCCTGCCAATAGCGCTGCATTGTTTTCATGTTGCTTTTTCCAATAAACTATGACACATCTGATTTTTTTTTTTTTTTTTTGGACACATCTGATATTTAGCGTATCTTTTAAAAGGTTGCTGCACTGTTCAGTCTTCAAACAATTGAGAACTTGGACTAAATCCTGAAAAAATCAGCAACGGGTATTCCATAAAGCATATGGGGTGACAGAACAAAGGTCAAGGAAACAGAACACCCAGGAGGCTGAGCCCCTTCTCTGCATGGGTGGAACTGTTGGCTAATTCAGAATTTGCCAAATCAGGAAGACCTGAGAAGCAAGATGTCACGTGAAAAGGCTGTAGCATTAGACCTGGAGTGGGTCCTGGCTCCTCCACTTTCAAGCCCCATGTGCCTCTCCCCCTAACAAGTTAATTTCATTTCTACTGGTTTCTATAACCCGCAAATACTGTTACCTCTCTTATAGCGTTTGGGGGTTCAATTCATGACAGAACTGAGGTGCACACCTGATAGCTCCTCACATACAGAGAGCCCTCACTTGGCAGCTACTCACTGCCTTAGTCCCAATTCTGCCAAGGTGCCTGGCCAGGTCATTCTACCAGAGCTGGGTGTCCTTAAACAAGTTGCCACATGAGCTGAGCTTCTGACTCAGGCGGCTCCAGGGCTGGTCCGGGCTCTGACCAGCACATGAGCAGCCGCCAGGGCCACTCAGAATCAGCCATTCCAGTTCTCATTCTAGCCCTTCCTGTGTGTGAAGGAGGAAGCTCTTGTCAGTCACCCCTCCCAGCTGCACCTCAGTTTCCCTCTCTCTCCACCCAGAGTCACAGAGCCAGGACACATGGGCAACACATTTGGAATTCTATCAAAGGTCCCACACATTCAAAGCTGTGTCAGCCTGTCCAGAGGTCAGCAGCCCTGTCTGCCCACCTCCTTGCACTGACCACCTAACTCCAAACTTGATTCCCTTCTTTTCCCCCACTCTAGCTGTTTCTCTTGGAGACCCTCTTGTTTAATTTAAAAAAAGGGGGGGGGCTCTCCCTAGTGGCACAATGGGTTAAAGCACCGCATTATGAAGCTTTCCAAAGCCGCTGCAGCATGAGTTCAATCTCCGCCCTTGGAGTTGACCCACATGGCGTGGCAGACTTCTCCCTGCCCACTGCTCCCCTCAGCAGTGTACCATGTCAACCTGCCTGTCCTGTTCCCCACTCTGTCTCTGGTGAATCCTCTCACCCACCACACCTCTGGCCTGCACCCCAGTTCTGCAAGCATAAATAAATAAATCTTAAAAAAAAAAAAGGGTATATTTTCATATTTTCTCTCCAAGTTTTAACAAGAAATTCCTTGGATTTCTTTTAAAATCTTTAAATAACTATCTCGATAT